TAGTCCAAAATGTAGAGTTTTGAAAGGGCTTTAATTTGGTACCTGTCCGAAGCCTGTATCTCTAACCGTTTAGGAGATATCGAAGGTTAAAGTTTTCCAACCTTTCTCCGTCGATATCTCCGCTTCTACTGGGAGTAGAGAGTCGTCCATGTAGTCCAAAATGTAGGGTTTTGAAAGGGCTTTAATTTGGTACCTGTCCGAAGCCTGTATCTCTAACCGTTTAGGAGATATCGAAGGTTAAAGTTTCCTAACCTTTCTCCGTCGATATCCAGCCTTCATTCGTCGATATCTCCGCTTCTATTGGGAGTAGAGGGTCGTCCATGTAGTCCAAAATGTAGGGTTTTGAAAGGGCTTTAATTTGGTACCTGTCCGAAGCCTGTATCTCTAACCGTTTAGGAGATATCGAAGGTTAAAGTTTTCCAACCTTTCTCCGTCGATATCCAGCCTTCATCCGTCGATATCTCCGCTTCTATTGGGAGTAGAGGGTCGTCATTGTAGTCCAAAATGTAGGGTTTTGAAAGGGCTTTAATTTGGTACCTGTCCGAAGCCTGTATCTCTAACCGTTTAGGAGATATCGAAGGTTAAAGTTTTCTAACCTTTCTCCGTCGATATCCAGCCTTCATTCGTCGATATCTCCGCTTCTATTGGGAGTAGAGGGTCGTCCATGTAGTCCAAAATGTAGGGTTTTGAAAGGGCTTTAATTTGGTACCTGTCCGAAGCCTGTATCTCTAACCGTTTAGGAGATATCGAAGGTTAAAGTTTTCTAACCTTTCTCCGTCGATATCCAGCCTTCATTCGTCGATATCTCCGCTTCTATTGGGAGTAGAGGGTCGTCCATGTAGTCCAAAGTGTAGGGTTTTGAAAGGGCTTTAATTTGGTACCTGTCCGAAGCCTGTATCTCTAACCGTTTAGGAGATAGCGAAGGTTAAAGTTTTCTAACCTTTCTCCGTCGATATCTCCGCTTCTACTGGGAGTAGAGAGTCGTCCATGTAGTCCAAAATGTAGGGTTTTGAAAGGGCTTTAATTTGGTACCTGTCCGAAGCCTGTATCTCTAACCGTTTAGGAGATATCGAAGGTTAAAGTTTTCCAACCTTTCTCCGTCGATATCTCCGCTTCTACTGGGAGTAGAGAGTCGTCCATGTAGTGCAAAATGTAGGGTTTTGAAAGGGCTTTAATTTGGTACCTGTCCGAAGCCTGTATCTCTAACCGTTTAGGAGATATTCGAGTTCCACGTCCATGGACCGTTATCCGTCTCTGTCTGGATCAATATCTTTTGTATACAACAACGCAATAAATAGATAGACAGACAGAGATTGACGAAAGTAATTGCAAATTCATAAAGTGATGATTACTAGTCGGATGATGACGGATTGTGAATGCCGAGTGCGAAATTCCGATTTCTTATTCCCGGAAAATTCGTCAAACGTACGCTCTCGTTATCGGAGACCTCCCGCGTAATAAATGATTCCACATACCTGGAAACGTGACGTATCGTTGCCGGCGTTCTGCTTCTCGACTGCTGAAGTCCTTCGGATTTCACTCGCTCACGCTTCTAATGCTGATACTCGCGATTCGACCGTGCAGTTAATGAATGAGATGCCGACGCGTTGCCGATTGAGTATCTCGAGGACCGACGAGATATATTTCTTTTAATTACACGAGACGGAAGTGACGAGAGCGTCGCGCACGGCTGCTGCTGATGGAATGAGGTCGAGAATGCATGAGGTGCGCGAGTATTATAATACGAAGGGCAAAAAGTGTCGTCGCTCGCGAGCCGATCAACACAATCGGCGCGATGTAAACATTGCGGGCCTTGGCGGCGGTTGAAGCAAGAGAGACTTGCCTTTGAGCGTCTCTTGTTTTCTCGAAGGTTTCGGAACGACGAGGGGAATGCGAGGAGGCTTTTCAACTGTACTCGACATTGATGCACTCTATTTATTGATTACTGAAAATAAAGAAAATTACTCTGTCGAAGCATCGGACATTTGTTAGCTTTATGTTAATTAAAGAGGAATGTATACGATTAGAAAATGTGTTAGCAACTAATTGTACAGAGTGTAAGTTGTTATGACGCCGTTTTCAGAGAATAATTAAAGGTCATGGTAGCGTTAAAGAATGGAATTTCATCCTATGTGAATTTAGTCGCGCTCTTATTAAATATTAGTCCTGTATAAAATGTCGTATTTAAAAGTATTGTTTCGCATTCACGAGATTTTGTCGTAAATTCCGCTCTCAGATTGGATCGCGGGTGAATACTTTTTAATGCGACGGGGAATAGAACGTGAAAATCTTGTATGCATCTGAATCCGAAAACGATTAGGAGAAGAAGTGAATATTTTTCAATACGAAAGTTCGCATTTAAAAATTATCGATTGCGATTGAATACAAGGCATATTTGAAACGAATTGAATCCTTGTTAATGCGAAGCATTCATTACTGCCATCTCGCATTTAGCGCGGTGAAATTTAATGAGAACTAATACTTTTTATTTTCCCTTTCTTCGGACCAGAAAGCAGAATTCAGACGTATTCAAAATATCAATATTTTTTAATATGTTTCAGTTCGACATTTTATACAGGGAGATTATCCGCTGCGGACAATAACTCTTCTACTTTTCATTTAATATTCAATGATGATAAATAACATTTAATTGCATTCGTTTGGCTTTTTTTATTTCGAAAATAAGAAAATATATACCGGGGTGAGATTTTACCCATGACAACATTAACGTGATTTTCTTTGATGCTTTTTTAAAAGTTCAAATATTTCGTCGACTCGCGGGATATTTATAATCGGAGTCTCGTCACGTTAATTACGTGAATAACACGTGCTCCTCCGAGCGGATCGAATGCTCACCGACGGCCACTGTCAGTGCCACGAGCGAATGTCCGGAGCGGACGGGATGCTGAATTAAAAAACAAGACGAAGTGAACGGGACGCGGACAACGATACATCATGCGTCTCCATACATGTCAAATTATTTATTATAGAAGAGACTTTGATACGGCAATATATATTCGAAGATTTAACATTTAATACGTACTTTTATTTTTTCTGCTCCTCCCCGCATCTCCCCCGCTCTTTTTAGACCACCGGCATAGTCTGGCATAGAGATGGCAACTGTCATTGCAGCACGGACATAAACCGCCTGAAAGTGGATGTAGCATGGACTTCCACCATATGCAGATTTTACCACCGAGACCTGAAAGTGGATGTACTATCGTAGTTCCCCTCTCAAAATGGATGCAGATGGCGTCCTTTCCCAGTGCGGAAAGTCGGTGTCGCAGAAAATGTCGTATTGGCCGCTCTCAGGTTACTCTCTGGATGTACTATCGTAGTTTCCCTCTCAAAATGGATGCAGATGGCGTCCTTCCCCAGTGCGGAAAGTCGGTGTCGCAGAAAATGTCGTGTTGGCCGCTCTCAGGCTAATAATATTACATTTGTCGTACGACAATCTTTTCGAATACGTTGATTGGTTACAAATAGAATATTTCTAGGATTGCTTCGCGTACGCCAATCAATGTATCCAAAAAGCTTGTCGTACAACACATGTAATATTAGGCTCAGGTTTCTCTCTGCTGTTATGTAACTCTCGCTCGTCTCGCTGTTCGTCGATCAATGCGAGTAATCGAGTTTATTTGTACTTGTATCCATTTCAGATGAATATTCATACGAGAGGAAATATCAGACTTTTTATATTAATATTTATAGCAATTTATATTTCGATGGATTCGGAGGAGGCAAATATTCGAAAACACGCGGTTTAATTGTTGCGGTGTTATGCTGCGAGTCTCTTGAAAAATGAATCAGAATGAAATATTGCAGTAAATAAAAAGAAGATGATAAGATAGATAGCACGTTACAACGTGCTTTGCGTTCTCTCATGTTCAGCTTGCTCCTCTTTTCGAGCAAATGTCTAATACAATGCGCACATAATACGAGTTAATTGTAAATTGTCGTAAAACACAGGAGGGAGATTAAGGATAAAATTTGTGTTTACTTGGAAAACGTCGAGTTATTGGACGTTTCAATGATGAATCAATGGAGATATTTCTGCAACTCTAATAGCCCATTTATGTTCAAGTTGAGCTTCAATGAACTGTTACTGTGGCTTTAATGACTGATACTTAATCTTGATTGATAAAAGAATAAAACATGCTTACAAATAAGCTCGCTGGAAGCGACAGGAGTGGGAGAGGAATAACAGGCGGATTGTAAAAAGTTTGATCTTGAATGCCATTTACTTCTCGTGAGAGAAATGCATTATGATAAAAGGAGAATATTTTCTTTTGGCGAGATGGCATTTAAGTGTATCGTATATGTAACCTATTTGCGGGTACATGCAGTTTGTAACACCTGTGAACTTTTGCACGAGTCGGGTTTCGCAATACCTGATGTCACTTTGTGCTTGTCAGTGATGTAACTTAGATTATTGTCACCTAGGTACTAATTGTTAACAGAAGAAGATTATTAGAAAGACAAATCTCTCGCAAAACTGCTTTAAATTATTCAATTATTGTTTCCAAGAATGTCAGACTGCAAAAATAAAGCGAACACAGTGAGTTCGTATGCTTGAATCTTGAGCGTTGAATGGCACCGTTCGGCACGGGAATTAGTCATGGAAATTAGTCCTTTAAAACAAATCTCGTTTGATTGAAGAGGCATTGAAATATCACGTGACATTTTCTAAGGCTACAAGAGTCAAGAGATGAGAATGACGAAGAGATGAAAAGTAATGAAGGGATCAAGAGAGGTGTCTAGAGGGTGTTTTCTCCCCCCTGTCGCTTTAAGCCCCTTGCACAATGCCAGGCACAGGCAGTAAGAATAAAATAGACCAATCACAATAGATTATTCTTGTAATAGTCGATTGTGATTGGTCTATTTTTATTCTTATTGCTTGTTGCCTGGCATTGTGCAAGGGGCCTTATCGTTTCTATACCCTTTTTGCTGTACACCACTGTTGAGGAACAGGCCAATCGGGCACTCCCACATTTCTAAGTGCACGCATGCGCTCTCGGTTTGCACCCGGTAGCGGTCAACTATGACAAACCGCGGCTCGACCAGCAGTCGAGGGGTCTTTGTTTGTGCGGTTCGAATCGCGTTTGACACGATGAAACTGCTGCTGTTCTTGGGCCTGGTGGTTGCGGCCTCTTGCTCCAGCAATGTCGCAAACGGACCAAAAGTCACGGACAAGGTACAAAGAGCCTAGTCCTCGATATAAACGCAGTGCGGTTTTTGAAACGAAAGCGTCGCGTTAAGCAAGTGAATAAATTTCGAGGAAGATGCTGGTCCATGAATACGTGGCATATCTTATCGCCACCGCTGCCTTATCGTTCGCGATTGCTACGAGATATTTCTGTCTTGCGCGCAGATGGAAAAATCCCATGAGTCTGCATTTATGATCCGGAATTAAACGACGGCTTTGTTCCGAAATGCGCGCTTGCCGAATATGTCGGACTGAAATTTTTCAGATTAATTAAATTTATAGGTATGGTTCGATATAAGAATTGGTGATAAGGACATCGGCCGAGTTGAAATCGGTCTTTTCGGTAAAACCGTTCCGAAAACAGTGCAAAACTTCGTGGAGCTTGCCAAGAAGCCAAAGGGTGAAGGGTACAAGGGCAGTGTGTTCCACAGAGTGATCAAGGATTTCATGATCCAAGGAGGAGACTTCACAAAGGGAGATGGAACTGGAGGTTTTGCACAGACAAATTTCCATTTCATTTACACCTTGTTGTACTTGAAATATATTTATATTTTCATATTTATGTTTATCATATTTATAACTGTATTATATCTGTATTATGTTTTTATATTTCTTCATTTATGCATTGTTATTTCTTATTGAATACATATCTTAAATATATGATTAATACTATTTATTGCTTTTACTAACTTTATTGATTTAATTATTTATTATTACCAGGTCGTAGCATCTATGGGGATCGCTTTGCAGATGAGAATTTCAAGCTGAAGCATTATGGTGCTGGTTGGTTGTCAATGGCCAATGCTGGCAAGGATACCAATGGATCTCAATTCTTCGTTACAGTTAAGCAAACTCCATGGTTGGATGGTAGACACGTTGTTTTTGGCAAAGTCATCAAAGGAATGGTACATAATAATACATTTGCTGTAATATAATAAAAGTATGGTGTTTTTATTCATTTGTATATTTATTTCTTATTACAGGACATAATCCGCCAGATTGAGCAGACAAGCACAGATTCACGAGATAGACCACAGAAGGATGTTGTCATCGCCGACTGTGGTACTGAAACTGTAGCAGAGCCATTTAGCGTATCTAAGGACGATGCTATTGAGTGAACATAACGATTTATCGACAATCTCGTTATTCCGTATGATCCGTTTGTCTCATGCGAAATGATCCTTTTATGTTGCACGACTCCAACTTCTTTAAAAAAGAATCAATGGCAGCAACTATATATATATATTAACAGCTATGAATAGAAAATTGTAAGGTGTCAGTGAGTCGAATAATTTGACTATGAAGCTTTTACATCACTACTATAGCAATATATGAAACAAAAATGTTTCACAGGGTCATGAAGCATTAGAGCGGCAATTGTGGAGACGATTGTTTCTATTCCAGTTACAATTACCTATATTTACATTGCACAAAAAATTTTGTACGTCTGTAAACGAATTTTTTACATTCACAAATATAAGTTGTTTAAAAAATATTATGTCGTTATTCTTTTGCCCTCATTTTAATAAAATATAATTGCATAGTCCATTTTATATTTGTAAATTTAATCAAACACAATTTTAGAGCAAAATATTTTAATCTTTATATATTTTTATAGAGAACAACTCTGAGAATAGAATGAACATAAAATTTCTTCAACATTAAATTTTTTTAATTTAAACAGAAACTACAAATTTCTTTGAATATAAAGTTTTTTAATTTATAATTTTCCTTTTCGACAATGTTGAATACATTCGAATATTTTATCGTTTATTTTTATATAAATTTTGATATAATAACAGAAAGAAATCGAAACTGTGCCGGAATAACATACTCTGTAAATATGTTTTCTAATTTTCTCAAAAAGAAAAAAAACATTTTCGGATCTATTGGTCCAAAATATATTTCCAAGTTCCTCTGCTACGAGCCTCCACTATTTTTACTGCATCGTCGTAATACGACTCAACAAACACACTCAGTCAAACATCTTTGTTATAATCGAGTAGTATATATTAATGAACAGCAAGTCAGGCGTATCTTTATTTCCATATAACTCACGACGATCAGTTTATTCATTTATTTATTTTATTTAATTGACTGATTTATGTAGACATATTTATTTATTTTTTAAATGTACGACAGTTTAAAATTAGTTTAACATTAAATCATCCGATTACCATTATTTTTGTCGAAGGTTCGACTCGTTGAATTTTGTCTGCGTTAAAACCTAATGACATCATTCCGACTTGTGTGCATGGTCAGCTGTGATTGCGTCCTCTGCTATATTTTCCCTTTAAATGTTAAAGGGAAGATTTAAAATCATGTTGTCAAGGAGAGAGATACGTTATATTCTCGCGCACAAGTGGATTAAAAAACAAAGTAGCAGTCTCTCACAGCGATTTCTCTCATCTAAAGTTCAGGAAGATGCAAGAACGCGGTGAGCAATAAGGTTATGATAAATGAGGTTATGATAAATGTTTATATACTTGTGAATATAAACAAATTCATCGGCGTTTCAGAAATACGTGATACGTTAATATCAAGCTGTTTTAATCAAATTAATTAATTTTTTTGATATTCAGAGAGCAATGGAAATCCTGCGTGGGCTTGGAGATTCACGCTCAGATTGCGACCAAGTCGAAATTATTTTCCAACGCATCCACTAACTTTGTCAGTCCGCTTAATTCCTGCATCACGTTTTTCGACTGTGCCACACCAGGGACTCTGCCAGTAAGTTATTCATAAATAATCCATCCGTTGTGACGACTATCACTATTGTAGATATGTTTATGTCACAGGTATTGAACAGAAAATGCGTGGAGTCAGCAGTACTGACAGCCTTGGCATTGTCCTGTCGACTGAACGAGCTATCCTTGTTTGAGAGGAAACACTACTTTTATGCAGATTTGCCTGTGAATAATAAGGATATCACAAGATAGCCTCTTTGCATCGTTTTGCATTTTTATCTTCATTCAGTTGTAATTTTTGTTCAGGCAGGATTCCAAATTACTCAACAAGCGCAGCCAATAGCGGTCGGTGGTGCGATTAAATTCTATGTGTCCGGCCCGAGAGTGCAAAAGGCATACTCAAAGTCCTCTAAAATCAAACAGATTCAATTGGAGCAAGACAGTGGCAAAAGTTTGCACAACGAAAGTACAGGAAGGTACTTTTAATTTATTGACATCATCAGCTCTTCTTGACTGTCTCAACTAGATAAAATCTAATTATTTCAATCAGTTATTTCATCTAATATCTTTGCAGGAGCTTAATCGATCTGAATCGCGCCGGAATACCTCTGATGGAATTCGTATTTGAGCCAGACCTAGTCGATGGCGAAGAAGCAGCCGCGCTTGTAAAGGAGCTTGCTTTTACTCTGCAGCTATTGGGCGTTTGTAGCGGCAAGATGGAAGGTGAAAAATGATTTACTTGCAATTATCACTCGTCGCTCTTACAAGCTGTGGTCTACAATTTTTCCACTGCAGAAGGAGCATTTCGCGTGGACGCTAACGTCTCTGTGAGCAATCGGGACGGAGATTTGGGTGTTCGCACAGAAATCAAGAACATCAGCAGCGTGCGCGCTGTAGCGGCGGCTGTCAAGTACGAAATAAATAGGCATATTTCGATTCTCGAAGCCGGCGGTGAAATGTCTAACGAGACATGCACGTGGGACGCGGTTAAGAAGAGAACTGTTCCTATGCGCGAAAAGGAAGAGAAAGAAGTAACAGAGTATCTCGATTCAATGTAGTGTTTGATTGTTTCATCGTTGAATCTGTCACAAGTGAGCTTGCTTTGCAGGATTATCGATTTATGCCCGAGACGAATTTGCCGTCTTTGCGCATACACGTCAGAGAAGATTTGCCGAATAAAAACAATCTGGTTGATGCTGTATTATTGAGACAACAGTTACCTGAATTGCCGGAACAGATACGTCTGCGATTAAAGAACGTATTCAAGATAGCGCCTGAAACAATCGTAGCTTTGATGGTAAAATTAAATACCAAATGAATGATCAAACGGGTAAAAGAACGGGAATACTTCTAACACATAGTATTATTTTAGAGTGACTTCGAGTTATTGCGATTATTTAATAGAATTATACAGAAAGATGAGAGGCGCGAACCGCAGCTAGCCGCAAAGTTTCTCGTCAACTTCTTATTGACCTTCCTTTATAAGCATAAGTTGACGATTGAATTTTGGTAAGGTTCTTCTCCTTTTGTTTAAGCTAAATAACATCTCTCGACTGTGAAATTATGCTCACTTAACAAATTTTCAGCGCACCACACGACGACTTCATTGGCCAGGTAATTGACTTATTACAAGACAAGTCAATTAATTTACTAATAGCAATGAAAGTTTTGGATGTCTTAATAACCGAGCCAAACAAACTTCCAAGAGAGGTAAAATTTTCCGTTTTCCTTTTTTGTTAAAAATATGTACAGCGTTTAGACTCGAATTTTAATTTAGTTATGTTTAATTATTATACATAACTTTATTCTGTATGATGTATTCTGTATTGTGTATTATGTAGATCGTTGAAGAACACAATTGGTTTTTAATATCAGACGAACAACTGTTAGAGCAAATGTGTCTGGAAGTTATTGAGAAAAATCCAAAAATTGTAGCATTATATAAAAAGGGTAAGACGAAAGTATTTAAGGCGTTAATAGGAGAAATAGCGAGAAATACAAAGCAGTGTGCAGATATGGCTGCTGTTGCCAAAATTATGGAGAGGTTATTGAAATCGGAATGAAACTACAGAATTAGTTTCATAATTCAAGATGTTGTAAATAACAATATTCTTCAATAAACAAAATATTCGAGATATATATATATGTATAAGAGTAATTTTATTATGATTACTTACCTTTTTCATATTAGATATGTATAGAATCAATTAAACGCGAACGTATTGTTAACGATCATTGTAAAGATAGACACTTAAAAACTATACATATTATGCTATATCATTATACTATTGCAATTATCACTTCTTCACAAGTATATTCAAAAATTTCGTCAACGTAAACGCGACTTACACTAAAACAGGTCGATAAAGCTGAGGTCCGTGTGAATTTGTATATTAAATATTTACACAAGAACATTATTTTCTAATAAATTTCATTACGAAATAACTACATTGAGTCATCCTTTTTTTTTACAATTGTGTTTACAATAATATCATTAAAAAACATGCCAACTGTTAATTACACATTCCATTATTCAGTATTTATAAATCCGTCTTTTATCCAGTATCTTTACATCCAGAGCATATTGGACAATCATTATCGGCATTGCTATACAAGAAAATAATAGGTAACAGCATTTTCGTACAATGGACAGAGATAGTTAAAAGTAATAACACAGATTCTACCGTCGACAATGTTCGAACTGAAGTTACAGCCGCAGTTCTAAACGTTACACAACAATTTCAGTACTTTCAGGGAGATTAAAAGATCCTGGTGTCTATACAAAAAGTATGCTTGACATGTCATCCGTGATATTATCATATAAGAAAGTGTATCGTTACAGAGAGAATAATTAAAAACATTTAAATCCTGTACGCGTCAGATTACCGCTTATACTGCAAAAAATGGCAATGATGGAAGGATTATAAATTGCAGTCTTCAGAGAAAGGCCACTTGAGTAGCAATCGAGGGTCATGTTCTTTGACTCATCCTCCTTTTACCATCTGCATAATTTAGTCAAAGCGTAACAGATATCTATATGTATATATATATTGCTTATTGCTTCGGTAATGCAAACGGACTCGTCTTACGATTCCATGTACTCCGGATATCCTCATTTTTTCACATACGCACTCAGTGCTGTTTAGAGGGTAGCTCTCGCGGATAAAAACTCTCTCTCTTTCAATTACTAAAATGCCACATCACCGTTGTCTATCGTTACGTATTTACAAAATGTCCTTATAAAGAATCAACATCGATAACGTGATTTGATAAAAAAGAAAACTGTCCGTAGAGATTAACAGTTTTGCTTCGTCGCTACTTAATAATCGAATAAAGTAAACCTGAATTCGTTTTTTTTTCTTTTCCTTCGTTCTCTTTTCAACTATATAAAGAACATTGGCATATGGTTTCAGTGAATTATAAAATTCATCATCTCTCTAAGACATTAAAAATTAATTCCACGAAGTAAAATTTCTAAGTCTTTTATGATCAAGTATTCACAGTCTAGGAATAGGAGTAACGTCTCTTTTCTCGCCTTTGGCACAGCCATGCGATAATTAACTGATTTCACCATCGGAATAATAAATTAAATTACCAGCACGAGGATAAAATCATCGATAGCATGAATGCGCGCATTCGTGAGAACACTAGCAATAATTGTTGATGCTGTTGACGGTTAAAGCAATTCATTCGACACAGTTGATGATACAACTTAAGATTTTGCAGCGGCGTGCAGTTGAGACTACAAACAGATTTATTTGGACAATTTGCTGATTACTCTGATCAAGGCACCGTTTTCGTCTTTTAGCCTCTGATTTTCGCATTTTAGTTGCTCCATCACCTAGAAAAAAGAAGACGTCTCGCTAATTCTCGTGCGCTAATGCGACAGAACGTACAACATTATACAGAGGAGAGTATAGAGAAATAATGCCGTTATAAACGGAATGATGTATCAGTGCTCACAAAGTAAACAGGAAAAAAAATGTAAAGAACGGAAAGAGGCACTCACAGGTATTACTGCAACCAAAAGACTCGTTAAAGAAAGTATTCGGGTACTGTATTGTACTAGCGCAAAATTAACAGATGTATACTCGAGTACTATGAAAGAACCGAGAGAGAGAGAGAGAGAGAGAGAGAGAGAGAGAGAGAGAGAGAGAGAGAGAGAGAAAGAGAGAGAGAGAGAGAGAGAGAGAGAGAGAGAGAGAGAGAGAGAGAGAGAGAAAGAGACAGAAAGAAGTATGATTATATGAATGATCAGCAAGAAGCGTATCGTCTATTTACGACGGTCTTTTTGTCACGCTGCACGTATAATGTAACAGAGATGAATTACAAGTTTTATTTTTTCTTCGAGTATCCATTATATATTTTGTACACACAAGTATCCTTCGTGCGTATAACAGCAATCGTTTACATCTAATCGATGCCGAGCACTATGATTGACGGGTAGGTATCTCGGAGTGAGTTATTTATAGACGGTCGTAGAGATTCGAGATTTGAACTTAGGGGGTATATAGTGAAACTTGTCTCACATACACACACACAATTATATATCTTACAATAGAGTTTGCACGTGTTTGGAAGACGATTCATCCTTTGTACGCAATCTAAGCGAGGCTCCATCAGCGCGCGAGACTCGACGGCTTGGAAGATGCGGCGTGGTAGCCTTAATTAGCGTAACAATCGAACCGCGAGTTAATCATCCAAGTCGTAAGAGAACCGTTTCCACGCTACTACTCGCCTATCGTTTCACGTGCATCTCGTGGGAAGATGGGGGAGAGGAGCAATGTTCTCTGAAGCAATGTTTACCAGTTGCAACTAATACTGTGTAAACCGCTCGCCACGTTCTTTTCTCGCGTTGAGCACTTTTTCAGAACGCTACAAAATAATATCGTTGATTACGAAAGCTCTCTAGTGCGTATCACATGGAAAAAGTAGTTGTGTGATGAGTATGCAGTAATTTATTATACACAGAAGTTAAAGAGAGGCGGATTATATATAATGTGTGTCAAAACCTCACGAACTTTGGTCATCTTGTCAGAGTGGATCTATGAGTCAATGAGTATAGTAAGGGGTGCAGTGAAGATGCAACAGAGTTTAAACATTTAACATGCTTTCTGAGAAAGAGAGATAGAGAGAAAGAAAGAGAGATAGAAGAGAGGTGAAGACCTAAGTTAATACAGTGTGGTGGATGTTGATTTTTAACGAATTTCTAACGTGTGTCTCAGGAAGGGAGGAAGATCGAGTACTCTCACACACACAGTTACAATCGTGATGAATAAACGAGAAGGAAATGATCAGCTGCAAAGTCGTGACATGGATTCGCTCGAATGTGCCGAACACGTGCCATAGCGGTGACTGATCGCCGGAGATGATGCTGCCGTGGCCGAGCTTATAAAAAGCAGTGTGTGCTTTTTAAATGCGGAGGAATGCTCTCCCAGAGTCGCGAGGTCGTCAGAGTCTACGTCGTTCCTACGCATCGCGCGAATGACAGACTACGCGTCTCTACGTCTCTTTTCGTTCAAAGATCACGCGGCGTTTTTTAGCGGAGATGTATTATTTCACGGGCTTGTTCGCAGCATGCATCACAACAATCACAGCCGCGACGATAATGACACGTGATCTCGAATTTTTCTTTCTCGACGACGATCTCGACGATTCGTCTACGTGTCTATATAAAAGCGTACGTACGCGTTAACGTGTGAACAAAGACGTGGAGAGAATCGCGTACGTCGCGGAGACAGAGGTGCTATTAGTAGTATCACACATATAAGATGTATGCGATTGTATACAGTGGTGATTATAGAGTATTCAGCATGAAACAGACGAGCATGATGTGTGTGTATGTGTGTGTGTGTTTGTATGTATGTTATATAGCAGGCCTGAGATCTCTCTTTTTTTTTCATGAAAGTACAAGCTGGTACGGTTGTTTGATTAAAGATTGATTAACGATCGCGCATTACGCATTCTCGATACGTACTTTGCAAAGCTGAGTTCTGTACGATAAGTAAGAGATGAGCGGTAATTCGTTTCAGTTTTAATATTGGCGATCAGAACACAAAGTTGTAATCATATCAGTCGATTAATCAATCGATTAATTAATTAATGCCGTACGTGAGATACGATGTCTATCGTTATGACGCAGATGCTGTCATTGTGTCCTTTACCTATTTAGTATTGGTGAGTTTGGATACGACGCGGGTAAGTGCCCGATTTTCGGCTTTCAATCTCTCATTTTCAGCTTTGAGCTTTTGCAATTGCTGTAAACAGTTAAACGATTAGCCCAAAACCCGCCGCTGTTCCCGCCAGTCCCAAAATAGCCAAAAGCATATAATTAATTCGCGTCTCATTGTTTCTCATGAGCAAAAATCCCGCGTGCGACTCCCCGCTAAATTATATATTGGGAATTCTCCGAAAAACAAAGACACAGAAAAAAGAAAGCGAAACTCAAGGGAAAATATAAGAAGAACTGGCGAAAATGGTCGCCGTCCTTCTCTACGCGTGTCAAAAATCAAGTACAAATCACAAATACAGAATAAGGAAGAGAATAAAAGCTCCACTGAAACCAAAAAAGAAAAATAGCAGGTAAGAAAAAGCGTACAAAATAGATGCGCCGAAGCCCTCGGGTCTTCGTATGAAAAAGAGAAAAAAAAAACTATTAAGAACGACCATCTCTCTCGACACGCTGCCCTTTCCTTGTCGCTAACAGTTGCAGCAACGTAACAAAAAAAAGAGAGAAAGAGAGATGACGATGACACTAAACTAAAAAAAATCTAAAATTGTGAACATATATAAACATGTAGATAGATAAATAGATAGATAAATACTGGTATAAATGTTCGTACACATAAAATCACAGACATAATTGTGTCCAATCTTCTCATTACATTCGAATATCGACGCATGGAAGCGTTCGTTCAGTTTTGCTTTCACATCAGAAAACAATCGTTCGTCACATCGCGAATAAAAAGAAAAAAAGGAAGAAGAGACGTAAGAGATCTGGGCTTACCTTCAGCTCTTCTTCCATTTCGGAAAGTTTCCTCTCCATGGCTCGCCTCTCCCGCTTTTCCGCCTCCGAGAGGATGACTTTATTTTGGTTGGTTTGCGCTTTCTCCAGCAAGCTTCTCACCTCTTTCAGCTGCTCATCGGAGCGCTTCAGTTTGTCCTTTAACCTCTCGTTCTCCACTTGAGATTCCTCGTATAATTTCTTATAGTCTAGCTCGCCGTTTTCAGAACTACTGGACTTTATTCTGATCGGCGCGGACGATGCTTCCGACGATATCGAGGATATCGAGCCTAATCTATTTGATCTGCTGGAACGATCGTTTCCGCTCTGAAACAGGATAATAAAACAAGTGTCATTTTCAGCTTCGATCAAACCTAGATTTCGCATGGAACGACACCGAATGGAACGAATTATGATTAGTAACATCCGCGGGAATAACGCTTCAATTATTCGACGATCGGTTCCGTCGAAACAGCAGACCGCGCGCTAATCGAGAAATGCAATCGCTTACGGCGTATCCCTCGGAACTAGTTAAACTTTGGAGGCTGGAGCTTCTCGACCCGATACTGAGACTCGGCTTGATCTTTGACCTACTGAAGCTCTCGGTCTTTTGCAGATGCGGCCGCGTATTCGCGTTGTAATTCAAGTAGTTAAAGCTCGGAGACGAACTCGTCAGATTTAAGGCCGCGTTGACAGCCACGTGAGAGGGCAGAGTAACACCGCCGTATCCGGTGGTCGTGCCGCCATATGTCGTGTAGAGATTCGGATAACTCGGGCTATTCGTCGCACGTCGTTCGTCGTACGACGTGGACTTGGTGTACGGGCTCTTGCGAAAGAGATCGCTGCTCTTCGCGCTCTTGTTCAGAATGCCGGACGAGCCGGAGGAATAGAGATTCGGGCTTTTCACGCCTAACAGGCTGGCGTAATTGTTCTGATTGAGCGCGAGCAGTCCGCTGATCCGTGACCTGTTTCCAAAAATTGATTGCCCATTTGTTGACGCCTGAGCTCTCAGGCCCGCAGCTGTTGTTGGCTTAGCCTGCGCTCCCTTTCTGTACGAAGACATGGTTTGCGTCACGTGAGAAACGTTTACTATTACGGCTCCGCCAACGGCATCGGCAGCTTGTACGCGAGGCCCGTCACTGAGAGAACGTTTACTCGCACGAAGATCTCACCACTCGGTCTCCCGGGACAGGCCGTGGGACCGTGAGCGCAAACGCTGTTGATTTTTCGTTGCGAGAGACGGGCGCGCGTGTCCAACGGCGCGGGCCGCGAATGATAGACTGACGGGGACCGGGCAGGAGAACCCAAGACATCAGACGGTTTGCTGCTTCAAAGCATCACTACTATGTGCTATTTTTGGAATGCGCGCAGAGACCCACACAAGTATCAAGGTTGTGTGTTCCTGAGACGCGAGAAGATGTATGTGTGTGTGTGTGTGTGTGAGTGTAGTTTGTATCACGCTTTTAACATTTGCCTTAACATATAAGCGAGACGGCTTATAAATATTTAAATATAGACCAGTTAATTAGCAAGCGCTGTGACACGAGATGTCGTTATTTTTACGTTGGCGCAGATTGTCCGACCAGAGATACACATGACTCAACGCCTGCGCGTGTGTAGGTGAATATAAGTTTCATAATATATTAGGTAATACCTCTCTTCTGACAGAGAGAGGGAGAGAGCGGGAGGAGATTTATATAGACGAGCGTTAACGACCTGTGTATCTCGATATATAAAAGACCGAGGTGTTTCAGCGGCGTTCACGAGAGCAACAAGTGAACGGCACGCGTGCGATTCTAAATGTCACAGCGTCGCATTGTATACCGAGGATGGACGGAATACTTTCGGACGCGGCCAGGCCGTGTTCACGATCATCTTGGTCTTTTCCCCTTTGCTCAATTTAGCGATTAACTTCTCCGATATAATTTAAGCTCCGTTGTTTCTCGGTCCCGAAGTCAATCCGAAGACCCACGGACGCGAAAGACTACGAATGTTTATTCGGGAATTAAGTAAAATTATGCGCTGACGTCAGTCTTGCACCATCATCTTTTTTTTTAAGTTCCCTCATACATCGAACGCATCTCGCGCGAAATGTAGGTGACAGAATAACAAATGCTGGACTATTTTTGTCAAAGAATGTACGGAATAGAGGTTATTCTTCCAAGAAGCTAAAAATAAGCAGCAAGCTGCCACGGTTTAAGAAAGCCGCCTGATGAGTCGGAATGAATGAAAAAGTGACGCTGGAGCGACGCTTACTGAATAATCGCGAAAAAGTGTATCGACACGAATATAACGGCAGACGAGTGTCTCTTTTCTTTGAGCTTCTGCGGTGTCTCATTGCTTCGCGTCGTGAATTTCGCATGACGCAGTGGGACAGCCAAAAGGCTGACCGCACACCTCGGTCTGTTCAACAATCGGAGCTCGACGAAAGGGAAACTCGTTAGGATTGAGAGGTGCCAAAACGAGACGGTGCCTCATCGGGTGCGTACTGCTCCCTCCGATTTACGAGCGTTATGTTTCCCACTGCGTCATTCTTCTTACTGCGCGTTATCCAATTTTGGATTTTTGGCACGTGCTCCGTTAAACCCGTGGCAAGAGACTCGTAAATCGAAATTCGGACAGACGCTCTGGCGTCAGAAGGGTCTTGTAAACCGAAGGCCGGTAAGAACGACAGGCGGAATGATGTATTTTAGATCAGCAGCGGTATCCATCCATCAAGCGGCGAACTAGTGTTTCTCGTACCGGCGTGATCTATCTCTGTTACTTTGGTCAGAGTAACTTTTTTTTTCTCCCCTCTAGAAACAGCGCTTTATATCCGCGACAGTGAGGTAACGTCGTGTTAGTGTCTGAGATTGACACAGCATGTAACAGTTTCAGTATTCTGAGCCGGAAGAGACTTACTTCGTTGTGATTGACCTTGGAGTCGTCACAGTCACCGCCAGCAGTTAGATCTTGCTTTTCTGGGTCGATTTCCTGCGAGAGGTAAAATGCGATTTTAGACTTCTGCGCGCTTTGTACTTTCTACTCGCGATCACTTGTACTTTAATTTCCACGTATTATCGAAAGCGTTTATCAAGTTTGAGATTTTCGTCGATGGTAATTTTTTAGCACTTAAAAAGACTCTAAACTTTACTCTCAATTTTATAGTCTCTTCTATGATACTAACGAATATTTTTGACATAACCACGACATAACGTTTCAGATGATTCTATCGTTACTCACATCCATATCCACGTGGACCACACCTGTCGATCTTCTTTTAGGCCGACGTCTCCTTTGAATAACGGCCTGTGTGGCTTGTGCGTTTCTGCTATCGTTCTCCTTGTCTTGTTCTATAATACACATACATCAACTTCGATAAACTAACACAATCGCTACCAACGCGATACAAACTGATTGAACATTTTCTTTAGTTTATTCATAGAGTTCCAACGTCGAATATTCGTCGAGCAATGTCGAATAATATTTACACTAAACACTTATTCGCCGCTCGATACTTTACTCAAACGTGAAGAATGGAATTCTCCTGAAACGTCCAACGTCTCGAATGGCAATCAAACATCAGTATATTGGGTATAGTCGGAGAAACATTCCAGAGAGGAACGTCATGTGTTTCTCTCTGAAATGCTCGTTACTGTTATTATTATCTTATCGATCCTTACCTTTGTCGTCTGGTTGCTTCAACGATCTTCTGAGGGGTAATGTAATGGTGGTTTCTGTACTGCTGGTAGCGATAGTCTCGACTGGCGCCGATGACGGTCTAGGTATGCCGGTTCCACCGGACGGTCTTCTCATGTAGGCCGTTGTGTTATCAGTAGGTCTGTTATTGGCGTCTTCTAACTGAAACTGAACGGTAAATCAGCAGTATTATTACGGATGCATTGAGATTCGCACATTCGGCGATTGACATCGAAAGACACGCACGATGAATCACATCGGGACGTGGCACGACGATCTGTCAGCGATTGGATCTCACTAAAAACGTGGTACCCTTGAACCTTTGTTCGTCGCGTGTTTAATAGCATAAACGTGAATAATGATTCTCTTAATACACAGACCTTGCTTCCATTGTCTACCCTTAATCTCCAAGATGGTCGTCTCTCGGGCAAATTAGATTCCTCGGAGACTTTATTCGCAGTCACGGTAGTCGAGGTTGCGGTCGTTATCGTAGCCGTGATCGAAGCTGTATTGCTGACCGTAGTCGTAGGCTGGGTTATTAAAAAAAATACATAAATAAAACGCCGTGTGCTCCGTGTCGCATATTAATTCTCGCGCTACATTGCCATCCGTATGAACGCAATAAAAAATAAAAATATCACTTCACAGGTAGTACTTTTGATTCTATCTAAGACGGAGAACTTGCGCAAGACACTTTGCAGCGATAGTCTCACGCAGTATGAGCAATCGTCCATCTACCTATTCGACCGCTATGAGTCTTCTAATATTTCACACATCGCGTATTTATTTCAAATATCTGGCAATAACGGCGACGAATCTCTCACGGCATTCGACGCTACCTGCGTGGATGGCGTCAGGGCCGGTGATTCGTTGTTCTGTTGTTTTTTCTTCACCAACTGCTCCGCGCTCTTGATCTCATCCAACGTCACGCCCTGCGTAGATCGTCTGGTTTCCCTTACTCTCTTCGCATGGGCTTTCCTCTGGGTCTCGCTTTCCTCATCGCGCACCGGCGGGACGAAGGATCTGTACATATGTATAAAAAAATGCACGAGGTAGAGAGAAGATCAGTTCGTCCAAAATGCAGCGAAGAGAGGCATGTGTACGATATCGTCAGTAGTCGTTTTATATCGGTGCAATGAAAACCAAATTCTTAGTAAGCATTATATTCAACACAATCTGTAAGCAATGTCAAAAAACTTCACATAAAACAGCAAAGAGTACACGTATATCCCTGTAAATAACGATTAATATATCCCCTTTGTTTCAAATGTATATACCTAGTGTAATGTATAATTATTATGCTATAGCTTCGAACGGCCTCTTCCGTGTAGTGAAATACCGTATCGAACCCTCGATTAATCGCAAGTTCGAAGGGAGGAGCGGAGCTGTAGTATGTCCTAATACTCTACTTTGCTCCAGCCGACAAAATTTCCACAGAATATCGACAGGCCTTTGCTGCAGTGGGCTGAGCCTTGTGTCGTTGTGTCTGTCACATCACAGTGCGTTCTCACAGAATCACAATTTACGACTTTGAAGTAATAAGTGCGTTTGTTCGTGGCGGTGTTTTTCTTTCTCATTTATTGGCTAATGATCATGTAGCGGGCGAGCGCCCCGGTGAGATTCAGAAACGTGTGGTTATTTGTGAACGAGATAACTATATATCGTCTAGATTCGAATGTAGAACAAGATTAATGCAAACAAAAAGATATAATCACACTGCGAAAAGCAAAACTTCCATGCTACTGCCAGCAAACGAAAGTTATATATATATATATATATATATATATGTGTATATATATAAAAAAGAAAAAAATATTCGAGGACACGCAAAAATCACAGTGTCTCAAGAGAATCTTCCGAGCAGAGTGAGTACCCACTTGAAGAAATTCTTGAAGATATTTCCCGGACTTAGCTTGCTCCCTCCTGGTGTGGTAGGAGTTCCAGGAGCAGCTGCTACTGCATTATTTGTATTCGATACAACTGTAGATGCAGCTTCCACTGGTTGAACACTATCCAGCCACATTAATATTATAACGCACAATGCAAAATATAAATACATAGATGTCAATTATGTGCATGTAGTAATGTATTCTGATGTTGTAAGTGTTCGAGAGATTCGCGTACATATTGCTGAGAATACACACATACACACAATCAGTCTATAAAAATTAATAATTTATAAAATTCATTTACTCATGTAGAAAGAATTGAAAGTTCAAGAATGGAGAAATCGATTTTAATTAAATTTCAATGCGTTGCAGAGAACAGAAGTAGAAAATTAAATTTTGCGGCTGTTTCACTTTCTAAGATATGCTTCGTAAGATACAGTGAAATACTGCAATCCACTTTCGATCCCTTTTCGCGAAAAAAATTGTTAGGATGTTACTTGTAGGTGTGAAGTTTAAGATATATTTAGATTTAAAATTATATTTAGTAGTAATCGTAGAGAGACTCCAAATAGAAAAATTCATTTACCTGCGAATCTGATTGACTGGAATAGGACTTGTTGTTGTGGTGGCAGTGGTGATAGTTGTTGTGGTGGATGACAATGGACTCGATGCCAATGTTTTAGACGCGGATGTTGGTGAAAGTGTATTGCTTCCTTGTGGCAGTCTTGATAATTCCAAATTTAATTTCACTTCTTTCTTTCTAGAGTGAGGATAAAATAAATAATTAAAAAAAAAAATAATACATAACGATAAACTGTATCGGCGCGATTACATATTTTAATAACGAATTTTATGAATTTGCACATTAATATAATTTTGATTGAGAATTTCTTCAGCAATACATGATTTTGAAAAGAAATGTAACATTTGGAAGCAAATGAAGTTAAAAATATATTCATTATCATTTCCATGGCTAAGGAAAGCAACACTTGTTTCTCAAGTTTCTTCTCGAAGAAGATATCTCAACATAAATTTATAAATCCCTATCTTCTTCCAGTTTTATAGAGATCATCAATTAATAGTTATCTATCAAGTCATGGTACAGTCAAGTAAATAAATAAAAGTTAATTATTTATATATATATATATAAAATTATCAAAAGTAACTTATTCAGAATTGTTAACAGCTGACGCTTTATAATCCGATTAGCACTATGGTCCAATTTAAATTGAAGCACTTCAAAGTTTCAGGTTAAAATAACAAATAGCAAGCTACATCGAAAGCTCATTCACACAGAACGTATAGGAAAAAAAAAAAAAAAAAGTACAAGCTAAATGGCTCGCGTTCTCGCATATTTATACTTTTAAATAACATGAATAGTATGATAACACATTACAACATTCTACATATCGTATTATTGGTTTTGAGCAAGTGAAACAGAATTACTGACGAACGTCGACATAATTGTAGCTTGTATTACGAACCAAAGCTATTGTAAACGTTGATGAAAAGCATGCGGATATACCTGTGTGTTTCGCGTAGAGATGCAGAGCGGGTCGTAGCATTGGTGTGAGTAGGAGTAGCTGCATTGCAGCAATGGAGGGTAGGGCACGAGAACGCCTTGATGCGGGCTTGTAATGCCAAGTACTGCTCATAAAACCTGCATCACATGCACCGTGCCATGCATATCTCTACACTCTAATTTATCATGATATATAATATGAAGACGTACGAATTACAGATACAAAAATGCTAAGACTCCTTATTAATGCGAACACACGGAGTATGCATATATAATACAGTATCCTGATTGTAGCTTGTAGCGCTGCTGTTAATAGCATTAGCATACTCGGTTGATATCATTAGCGAATGAAAAATATGAAAAAATATACACGACGTACTGCTACGTATAAAAGCCGTGAACTTGTAATTATTGTAAAAATTGATGTAGCGCACCGCGTTCAAGCGAAATATTATGGTTGAACTTACTTTTCGTCCGTTTCAAAACTATGCGTCCTCCGTAATACCACTTCGGGCTCGGCACTCACTTTATTCGGTACCGTTGATATCTTAATATTGTTATCCTTATCTTCAAGTTCTGAAATGATTGTAGGGACATACATTTGTTGAATGCTCGATTTCGAAATTGTGAGATAGCGGTATTGTGCGATAAACTTACTTGTAGATGCTGAATTAGTAGTTTCAGTACTTTGAACTCTATTTCGAAAGGAACCTGAACGTCTCCAAGATGGTACGACGCCTTCCTCGTTGTTATCAGTCTGTTGTTTTGGAGGCAATATTGGAGCCTCGAAAGAAAGTACAGATATATAAAATTAGTCGAGAGTATAAAACACAAAAATTATTCCGCTATTAGAATAGATATTTTACCTGATTAGGAACTTTGTTACTTTCGACTGGAGATACTGGACTATGGGGTGCAATTTCATCCTTGTTTACTCTATTTTTCTTCTCTGCAATATAATTAATTGAAAATTACAAAAATGGTCGATGCGGAAGAAGGAAAATATAAAAATATGAGCTTTTAGAGCTAAATTTTTACAGCAATAACCAATCCAGTAAGCTTTTAAGATGCTCTCAACACAAGATCCGATAACACATGCAATACAAAAAATAAAGTGGATATAATAATTTGTATTGTAAGAAAAAACCAGTCTTACAGATCAAACTTACCGTCATCTGTAAGACATGTCGCGTGGTTAGACTTATCAGATTGATTGGAGAAAGTGGAAGAGTGTGATTCTGAGCTAGTCTCAGATTCACCTTCACCATCACTCTCTTCCATGTGTGTTTCACGCGTTGCTTCTGTCCATGCAGCAATGTTATGAGAAATACAAATTACAGTTAACGTACATCAACTAGATTTGCAAAACTGGACATTAGGATATAGATTTGTGTGAGAAAGAGCAGTTCACAAAACATCGATTACTCTCTCTTTTCACTTTCTTTTCACAGAAAAGAAAAAAAAATAAATAAATACATATGGAAATTGTGTAAAGTTGTAGATCGTTATTTCGTATTAATATAATCACGTCTTTAAAAAAGAAGAAAATAGAAAGTAGAAGTGAACGTGCGGATTAGATCTAATGTTTGGTGTAACGCACACGAGCAACTTACCGACGTCGCTGTTTGTACTAGTGCTGGAATCCTCTTTATCAGATTGAATCTCTAACTCAACCTTCTTAACTTTGTTTGGCGTTTCTTCTTCAAAGATTTCCGTAGATTCTTGCGCCGCTATTGCATTTTCATTGTTCGTTGAGACGCTGTAACGTTTAGCAGTACATTGAAGTAAAAAATTGATATCTTTATGTTTGATTCGTCAATATTGCTTTGCATCGCGTACCGTTTCTTTGGTATAGACGATTGCTTTTTATTAATTATTTGCGGGCTGTCTTTCAATATAAGTGCTTGTTGCTCTTTCAGCTCCTCGAGAGCCTTCAGGATATCTGCATCGGCAACATCGAAAGCAGTTTGACCCTAAACGTGAAATACCGAGATGAAAATATTATTCTAGAAATTATACTTGTCAGTTTAAACCAGTCCAGATCAAACTTGGACTAGCCTGAGCCAGTCTAAGTTAGACTAAGCTCTTTATAATTACGACAAACAAACGTATTCTTACGGCGTAATTTTTCATATCCATATCACAGCCGTTTTCAACAAGAAGTTTGCAAGCTTCCAGTTGACCCCAATGTGCTGCACCGTGCAAAGGTGTCCATCCATCAAAGTCCTGTGCATTAACATCGCATCGAGCTTGTAGTAATATGCTGCACAGAAGTATTGAAACAATTACATGAAAGATAAATAAACTTGACATGGGTGGGTTCATTAAAACAGAAAATTGTAAAATTTCTTAAATAAATCCGATAGACATCGGCTCCATTCCGTAAGTAACTGCGCATTTTTAAGACTTATTCCAGAGATATCAAAGCAAATATCACTATACGCGCAATTACGTACGTGAGACGACGGTAATATTTTGCTTCGGAAAGCGATATCTTACTGCATGACTTTGATGTAGCCTTTGGCAGCAGCGACGTGAAGTGCGGTGGCTCCTGATCTAGGATGCATGGAATCTTTGCCTGGTGCGCCCGATCTCCAAGCTTTCGCGTCGTTCAGCATTGACCGTTCCTCTTCGCTCCTAGCCTGATCGCAATCTATGCCTGTAAGTTAGATATATTGTGCTGTACATACCCAACGATTCACCGTTCTTAAATAATCAAGCAGAAATCGATGGATCTCGGCTCGATTCCGTTGGCTCGGTTCGTTTATGTTACATCGTCGTAAAAACAAGAAACGTCTCTCTAACATCGGTGATTTCTCCTGGTACATCTCTGTGCGAGTATTATTATATTCGCACGTGCAAGACGCGAGTAATTTGTGTGATCCCTGTCACAAGTAGGCGTCACTTAAAAGACTATTTCAGTGCCATTGTACGTAAAATTATATCAGCAACGAGAAAAGGGGTCAATGGAAGAGGGCATCTTTGCCAATACGCGATTTGCCGCGTCTGAGCGCGGTGTGCGAGTTTGTAGCCAACGTTCACGCACAGTCTACGCGCGAACGCGCGCGTACACGTGCAATCTCGGAAATATGACTTTATAAATAATTCGCGGGAAGGAGCGATACACACGCGTGAAAAGCAGACGTCTACTAATTTCCGCCGTTTATGCAGTTATTAGACGTCGTTCGCAAAATCATCGCCGCTCCGAGATATTTCGGCGACGGACGGCCACGTAGGAGCGGCCGGTTTCGATATTTTCCTCGGAAGTCTATAATTAAAATTTACGCAACAGGCAACTCGGACATCCTGCGCGAAGGTACATGATGCAAATGCAAACCTGCTTTATTTATATGCTGTTGGAGCATATCCTCCATCTCGTCGCTTTCTGCAATGTCGAGCGCCAGTTCGCCGTCATTGTTAACCGCAGCCAGATTACATCCTTGTTCTATCAGGTATCTGCAAAGCGAACATACGCTCTTACGTGTATGTCTTGAACGTCATTGATGCAACGACGACAGCAACGCGAGGCAGACCGCGCGACTAACATCTTTGATTCATCTTTCGCGGCCACGACACATGATCCGAAGAAATGTAATTTTCCACACGATCGCGGTGTAAAGACCAAGTTGTACACTCACTTGGCAATAGAGACGAAGCCGCAGGACGCTGTAGCGTGCAGCGGTGTCCATCCCTCGTTATCCCCGCGATTGATATCGGCCCCTTGCTCCACCAGGAATTCCACCATGTCCAAGTCATCGTCGATGCAGGCCTGTGTTACACACAGGTGATTACGATAACGTCGTGTGAATACGGCGTTACACGGCGATTGTATTAATATACGCGCGCGCGCGCGAGTGTGCCCGAGGAAAGCGCGCGATCAGCCGGACGTATTTCGAGATCGACCGCCGTCGATTTTGCCCAGTCTGGTCGCTGTCCAAAGCTCGAATCGACGGCATTATGTTGTAAATGCGCTAATAGATTTTTCCATTGCGTCATCGCGTCGTCGAGAAACCATAATCGCAGTCGGCACTTCCGCGTAATACGGAGGAGGATAATTCGTTACAACGATGTTTTACAAAACATGTACGAACGCATATTCGAGGAGTGATATTTCTAATTTGGGACAACGATTTTAACGATAGATTGCTGAACAAAACGTGTCGCGGAATGAACGACACGGGCGGTCCATGTCGGCCCGTTGCTTCGAGAAACGAACGATTCCCCCGAATATAGAGTGTGCGTTAAAAAACGTAAATCTCGCCCTCCGTGTCATTTGATACATGCAAATTCCTGCGACGACCTCCGTTATTACTTGTACTTGAGAAAAAATCAGGCACGTATTACAACATTGCCAGACACAGAGGATTTAAACTGAACACAGATGCTGCAGCCTGTGAGCTATAAATAGCATTTGATGCCTGATGTATTTTCACATTCTATTTTCGCAAATCCATGAAATGCCTTAACTTCCTTCTCGCTTAAATAACCATCAATGTCGTTCCACGCTGTGGAAAATATATTATTTCGCTTAATGAGTCTTTGATAAGTCTGCTGTAGCGTCTCGTCGTTATCGATCTTTTCAAATCTACGCGATTGTGCTGAGACCAGCATTTTCTCGGATTTTAGAAGATACGCTTCGACATTTTATTACGAGCATCAATTAATTTAATCAATCAACTATCCGACGAGTTTGTTCTCTCGGATTAATTAACAATATCTCTGACTTATAACAGCGACACGAATATTCCACACGTCCGCCGAGCATTCTTGCGCCGACCTTCTCGTTAATGTACTCTCATTAATTATTTCGTTACAGTGTGCGTGTAATGACCATTATGGCGTGTATGTATTAGATGTTCCGGATTGCCCAGTTGCGTCAGCTTTCAGGAACACCCAGAAATAGGTTGGTGCTCGCAAAAACTGTCCGCGAAAAAAATCGTTGCGAATGTGATGAGATTCCACACGATTCCACACAACCGTGTGTGCCTCGGGGAGTCACTTTGTGAGCTCAGATTTTTTTTTAAATCTCCGCGTTGAAAATTGATTCTCTTTCTTGTGGCGGGGATGAAAAGTAAAATTAATCGACAAGAGCAAGGTTTTAACGAACCCACAACAATGATGGAATTCTCGTCAGGCTAAAAATAAATATAACGAACGTGCAACGAGGAATACAATTACTCACTGACGACAAACCAAATGTCCTGTGTTTGTGAATTGCACGCGCGCAGTCACACACATTGTGCTGAAAATAATGTGACACGGGAACATGTTGGGCTCAATGATTACTCGATATTCCAACATTCTCGACGTAAAATCGTAAACAATACGGAGATAAGGCACGTGTCTCGGAGTGATATGGAAAAATCTCTCGGAATTTCTGAATTACTTCTAAATGGCGTTACTAAATGGAATTACTTCTGATTGCTCAATCCAATTTCCAACTTGAAACTGTGAAACACAAAGAAGCGGAAAATTAATAATGCAAAGCTGCAATTATCTTATCAAATTAAATATGAAAAGATAAAAACCTCCCCGTGAGCGACACATCTTTTTGCAACGTAGTTCAATGAACTGCCGAGTCGCGGAATACTTAAAGAGAGAAACCTCAACAACGCGTCTCTAAAACGCGCGATCCTAAAATTAAAGCTTTCTCGTAGCATTCTGACCTCTCTCACTTGACATTTCTCTAATACTTTTCTCACGTGTCACGTTCACGCGCGCGGTGCAACAACACTTTCGAAGCCTAATAAAATTTAATATAACAGGATTTTAGCGCAGATTCACGTACTCTTAGCTCGCGTAAGTTATGTTACGGGAGGGACGAGTGAGAGATAAAATCCCGAGGAATATCGAGTAAAACGGACAACGGTCGTGCGACGGTCGTGTGTCGACATTGTAGTCACGGAATTGAAACGCTATCGATCGGGTATTAATAACGAATTAAGCGAGAAGGAGACAAGAGGTCTCTCTCTAGAAGAGCAGCGTTCTTTCCAAGGATCCGCGCCAATTGGCTCGGTGAATCGACAGGTCTCGCGTTGTGAGGTTAGCGTTTTTGCTGCAGCACAGCAAGGCGTTACCGCTCGCAGTGGTGTCTTCTCTAATGCACGTAAATAGTAATTAACGGTTAAGAGCAGACGCCGTTGGTTCGTGTTCTCGCGACGGCGATTACGTGCCAATCCCCGGGCGAGACGGCCCGTACTTCGACGCCGTCGCATCGAGAGCCAAGATCGACGCGTTGCGTTACGTTACACGTTTTTCCTTCCCCGTGAGCGGTCTCTCTCATTGACACGTCGAATGCGACGGAATCTCCGCGAGTAATACTCGAATTAGACAGCTGGAGCCTCGTAGCAGCCATCTTGCGGGATTACGTTCGGAAGGGAAGAGAGACAGATGGATGGAGGGACAGAAATAGAGACAGAGAGAGAGACAGAGAGAGAGACACAGAGAGAGAAAGAGAGAGAGAGGGGGATGAGAACGAAAGAAGAAGGTCCGAGGGGGAACAGAGGGGGAGCATCCCGCAGGAGCAAAGCTGTCAAAATCGGGACGAAGCTCGCTCGGCCGCGAACTTCTCGTGTTCCAATTCGGACAGACGGCGAGATCGTCGCGAGGTAGTGCACGACAGGATCGTGCGTCCCTTACCTGGTGTAGCGCGGTGAGGCCATCGACATTTCCGGTGTTGATGTCCGCTCCCTTCTGAAGCAGACGCACAACCTCCTCCTTGTCGCTGGCTGCGCAAGCCGCCAGGAACACGCAGTCCGCCGAGAATTTGATCTTGCGCGCGACTTGCCGCGGCTGTGCGGGCTCGCGATTCGTCTCGGACTGTTCCCAGCGCTTGAGCTGTTCGGCTCGCTTGAACAGGGCCGAGCTCGAACGTGTCTCGAGAGACATTGCACCGGCGCGACGGCGGAGAAAGAGAAGCACGACGCGCTTAGCTTCGCGACCGTGCTCGCTCGCGTGCGTACGTGCGTGCGTGCGTGCGTAAGTCGTATATACGTATGTACGTGGCGCGTGCGTGCGCTGGTGGTAGTGATGATGATGATGATGATGATGGTGGCGGTGGCGGTGGCGGTGGTGGTGGTGGTAGTGGTGGTGGTGGTAATAGTAATAGTAGTAGTAGTAGAATAGTGGCGGCGGTGAGATGATGATGATGATAATGATGATGATGATGATGATGGTAGTAGTAGTAGTGGTGGTAGCGACGGCGGTGGCGGCGAAGACGACGGCGGCTACCGTTGCACCTCTTCTCTTTTTCTTTCTCTCTGGCTCTTTCCCTTTCTTTCTGTCTTTCTTAAACGTGGAGAGCAGCGAACTTCCGCAATAACCGCTACTACACTTCTCTCTTCTCGCGCCTTCTACTTACGGGCTTCTTCCTCTTCTCTTGGGCTTCTCGCTGGCACACACACACACACGCGCATCCACGCACACATGCAAGCGGACGCACACTGGCGCACTACTGGACGCGCACACGCGCACGGTCAGTCTGTCTCTCTCTTTCTCTCTTACTCTGTTTCGCCCTAGCTGTCCGGTCCGTCTATCGTGGCTTCTCTCTCTTTCTTTCTCGATTCCCTCCTCTTTGCTCCGTCGCGAGCTTGTCCAACTTTGCTCTTCGTATATATACTCGTCGATGGCGACGGCGGTGGCGGTGGCGGTGGCGGCGACGGCGACGGCGGCGGTGGCGGTGGCGGCGACGGCGACGGCGACGGCGGCAGCGACGACGACGACGACGGCGACGACTGCACTATACATACGCGCTCCACGTCCACACAAACATATACACACACATACGCACTTGCGTTCACTGGGCGCGAGGATACGGCACGTGAAATAGGCGTTTCCCGCGAATCTGCTCCATATACGAGGGAAATGGGTCCCTGGCGCGCGCGCGCGCGCGAAGCCGTATTCCCGTCGCGAACTGTATTGTCGGACGCGCCTCGAGTCTCGACTTGACTCGCGGACTATCGGAGGGAGCGGTCGTTCGGTCGGTCGCCTTCAGTCGTACACCTCTGCCAGCCACTCATTTACGGAACGGCTAGATTCGCGTGTCCTTTGCTATTCTTGGCCGCTCTCTCGCGCTCCGTGCCGAACGAGCGTTCCCGTCGAAACTCCACTAGTGAGGGGACACCATCGGCGCCAACGCCGATTGACGCGCTCGTGTCCCTAGAAACTCGCGGCGATTTGTGAGTCGTTCTCGCGCGGCGCGCGCGCGCGCGCCTCGCGTTTAAGTGGCATTCACACCGACACAACGGTGGAGTGGTGTGGTATGCTGTTGACTCGCACTACTATTCGAAGATGGGAGGACAGGATTTGGTCGGTCTGCTACTGGAAATCCCCGTTGTGTCTTTGGTTTATTCTTCTTGAGCATCGTATAATTTATGGCGTAACGCTTTCTCGCTTTTTACTCTTCTGCCCCACCATGAGGTCATTCTGATTTTCCTTCGTGAGCTTCGCCGTCAGTCTGAGGATCGTTGATGGGAGTAGTACGTATCGTTAATTGTAAGGTAGAATAAGCCACGGCGAAGGGTCCGAGTATAGTCTGACAATGCGCCATCCGAATGATGCGGAACATTATTTGCGAATCTCTATTAAACGGTGCTTCGATTTCATAGTAGTGGGAAGTGACGCGGAGATCGCGGATGGTTGGTTGATGCTGAGGGAATTACGTGATGATCGAGCGTTTAATCAACTGCTCAATTTCGAGGATATTCTGAGAGATATCCTACACAGCCAAATACTGAACATTTCCGAGGTGCCGAAAATCATGGCGTGGATCTTGCCGCATGTGGAGGAGAAATCGGACTCCGACGACGCCGATCCGATCTCCAAGGACGTCGCCGCGTTGCTGCAGAAGACGGACATCAGGGACATGTCGCATTTGGCCGCGCTTCTTAAGACTATGCTAGATAATAGAGTGTACCTGCCCAAGTCGGCCGATCACACGGCACTATGTGAAGCAGTGATCGTGAGGCTGTCGACTTTCCAATTACCTCCACAGCCTAAAAAAATCTCAGAGTTCTATGACAATGCCAGCAAGATCAAAAACTTCTTGAAGGTGGTCTGTAGCAATACCAAGAACAGCGGTCATGAACTCCTGTTCAACTGCCTTCAAACTTTGTATCGTATAATATCGGATAGGAAGAGAAAAGAGGAGCCAGGCCCGGGATTAGCTGTGATATTGGCTCTGGTAGAAAACAGTTTTATTCCGCAGGCAGTGGAGTGGATTCTGTTGCAATCACAGTCAAACCATGAATTAGTACAGGCACTGACGGTTTTATGTAATTGGCTTCCAAAGTGGCGTGACAAGAAACTCAGCATCTGGATAATGGAATTCATACTTGGCTTAGAAAGACAAGAGAGATATTCTGTTCTTTTGGAAGTCATGGAATCTTCATTAGACATACTGAATCTTATGTGCAAAGTATTAGTGGTACCGTTAATCCGTCATAATTCTTCCTTTATTATATATCACATTCTAAGAAAGCTAAGCTCTGAGGAAGTTATACAAAAATTGATTAAAACTGTACCTACATTGATAAGTAGTTTAATGAAAGAAGATTCAGAATCCAGCAGAGAATGTATACAGCACTTAGTCGACATTGTGAAATTAGCCAGTATAAGATTTCCGGCCTATCGTCTACCTGAAAATGTAGAAAAGTCTTTTCCAGTTTTGCCACGCATGCATATTATCAAGGAATTTTATCGTGAACCATTATGGCTAGTCGATACCTGTATGATAGAACCAATTCTTGAACCAGAGGGACAATTGTCTGGAAAAGTTGGGCTTCAAAACCTTGGAAATACATGCTACATGAATAGTGTGTTGCAAGCCTTACTGATGACTCGACAATTTTGTCATGAGGTACTGAATTGCCTTGTGAATCAAACAGGAGGAATGCCTTTGTTGAGGAAACTGCAGGATTTGTTTGCTTTATTATTATATTCCAAGAGGATGTATCTGTCACCAAATGAAATATTTGAAGCATCACGACCATCATATTTTCTACCTGGGCAACAACAGGATAGTTCTGAATTTCTTTGGTTGGTATATACTTTATTACTGCAATAGTTGGTTTTTCGAGAATTTGTAGTTAAAAGAAATTTAATGTACCTGTATATATTAATGCAAACTTTAGGTTAAAAAATGTAAACATCTTACCTTACAGCATATTTTAATAAGATATCTTACATGTGATGAACAAAAATTTAAGACATTTGCAATTGACAAAATTGTTTTTTCATACAGTCATCTTCTGGATGTTTTACACGAGCAAGAAAAAGCAATTAATACAACCAATGGGAAAAATGATTCCACGTGTGGTATTAAATCTAAAATCGAAATACAGGAGAGCAGAATAACTTCTGCGTCAAACTCTACAGACAGTACTATCAAGCGGTGGATTACCGAAGAAGATCTAACTGAAGGCTTGATGTTCCGTCAAAAAACGCAATCATTAGCGGATTTTCCACAAGGTAATGATGGCAATTACTAAAATAGAAATAAGAAAATTATTTTATACATATAAAACATGCTCTCATGTTTCTTTCAACTTTATCTTTTTTTTTATTATATAATTATTTTTATTGTGCGATTCGCTGTATATATTATATTCGTAATGTTTTTATAACAGGTGAAGATCTGGTACAAGCGGAACGGCTCAGTGATTATCATTCAGATTCCACCGACAGTGGTATACAATCTGTAGGTGGTGAAGAAACGGTTATCTCATCCACGTCTCTTGTACATAGAGTATTAGGTGGCGAGTCCAAGATTACTTACCAGTGCGCACAGTGTAATACCAGTTCACACAACACGGACAAATTTCGCGATCTCCAACTATGTTTTCCTGAAGAGATGCAGGAGAACCAAGAGGTCTCGGTTCAAGATCTCATCAACTATTATCTCGCACCGGAGAAGCTCACGGGCGAAAACAAATACCGCTGTGACAAATGTATGAAGTTGTGTGACGCGCACAGAATCATCACAATTTTACAGGCGCCCGCACACCTGATTTTGTCGCTGAAACACTTTCGGTACGATTTTGACAGTCGGCTCAGGACGAAATTGCGCCACAAAGTAGTGTACAACGATGTCATAAAGTTGCCGGTATCCACGGTACCAAGTTCGATCACTGAAACGTATAATTTATATGCCGCCGTAGTGCATTCCGGTTATAATATGGATTACGGACATTACTTCACATACGCCTGCGACTCTAAGCAAAATTGGTACAAGTTTAACGATAGCTTTGCGTCGTGCACCACTTTCGAGGAGTTCAAGAACTTGAAGCCGCCGGACACACCTTACATACTGTTCTATGAAAAATCGGGAGCTCTTGATGGGATGTACGAGGACGACAGGCCCGAATTATTGACCTTGAGTAAACACTTGCAGGGATTGATAGCGGACGATACCATAGCTTACATAGAAGAGCTGAAGCAACAGGCGACATTGTCATTATCTGGACGACATTCGCGGTCCGTTCAGAAACGGTACGACAATTCTGATGATGAGAATCCACCATCTAGCAGCTGTTGCGGCGCGATTGATATTCCGGCAAATCGTTTTCTGTTTTGAATGGATTTATCATGCGGACGGCGACGAGTCTCTTCGGTTACCAACTGTAGGCTTCGTATTTATTGCACAATACATTATTTTATAACTACAGATAGCAGACCCAATTACATTATTTGTGATCATTGAGACACGTCTTTTGGTTAGCCACTATATTTCAAATAAAAACTGATATTAATATTACACTCGTAAAGGGAAACGTGTGCATTATATGCTATAACTCTCGATAGTTATGGTATACAGTAAATTAACTTAGAGCAACTATGTTAAAAGATAATTAATATATTCATGTATATAATGTATAAACGAATGCACCGGAATGATACTGAACATAATAATTGCATGCCTATGCATGTATATGAGACGTGAATTGCGCGAAGAATCGGTTTTTCATTTTATTACTCGATAATAACCTTGTATATTAAATATGTTCTTAAATTATGCGTAAATGTGAGGAGAGTTACACATATACATGCAAAAAGAAGAAAATAAATGTCCGAGCTCTATCTACCCTATTGCACTTTTATGAAATTTTATTTTAGTTATCTGGTAGTAGATTACATTTCCTTAAACATCTCATTTCCCGTTTTATTTTGTCGATATATTTTTGACATTGTTTAAACGCTTAAAATTTCATCATGCATTGTCGTGTTCTTAAAAACAATTGCTTATACAGCATCGCATCTTTAAAGTTAATTCTGCGATAAAATCTGAGCGTACACTCATATTTGTTTTTATATTTGTTTTTACTATATTTTATTTATTTATTAAATTTATGTTTTTACTAGACTAGTCCTTTTTCGACGAAACTTTTTGTTTGACACTTTCAATGATTGTTATTTAAATAATGATCGTTTTATTTTTTTTAAATCTTCGCGTATAGCAAAGTAAACAATTTTGTTCTCATCGATTGTCTTTAGAGGGATATTTTTTTATAGATATTTATAAAAAGCACAACTGTCTGCCCGGATATTCAATGACACATTGATCTATTGTTAGGAGTGAATAAACTGAAAATGCCTCACTCTACGTGTATAAAAGATTATAAGAGTATTGACACCGTAGATTTTTTAAGAGGCTGTAATTAATATATATTTATTATGCGGGGTAAGAAGCGTTAGTCTTTGGCCAATAGAGTCTTGTAATATTACGAGTTGTAAACATAACACTTTGTCGGTAGACATTACATAACTAGTTGTATAGTGTATTATTGACGTTAGTGAATGGATTCACAATTGTTAACGAAACCGTCGACAGAAAGAATATGTAGTTTGAATTCGCAGCGAAGAAATTTCCTTACATCGTGAATATTTATTGAAAGAAAAGATAAAACCGCATTCCTCCGCTGAGGAATGTTTGCATAAAACTACCATGATGGTAAATTGTTATTGCAAAAAGATTATGGGGAGAATGCACGATAGACATGACTTGATCGACTGCGGTTTCATGTGAGTAACATGTAAATGTGTTACTTTTGCTTTTATGAAGCAGTATTCAATGGGTACAATACACTGCTTGATTTATTACTGTTGTTATTGTTGCGTCTACTCACGATGTTGGTTCCAGGTACTTTAACGAGCGCGCCTTGACGTTGTATAGAATTCGGGAAATAATTTATAAATAATATGAAATTGTATAATTAGATTGTAAATTAAAATTGTATAGTTAGATAACAAACATATTTATACATGCTCATATAAGCATACGCGTTTTTATAACATATGCGGTGTTGATATAAAAATGTGCCATATCGAGCTTTTATTTATTAATGCGACATTCATCGTTCTACAATCGATTTCTCTTTTGCGTTGTGATTCTCTTCTCCCTATTTTCTTTCCTTCGAACAACAAAGAGTCTGTTTTCTGAAATAACATTGGGCGATCAAACGATCATTGTATATTCGCGTTAATATATATATATATATATATATATATATATATATATATACATATGTATACTCGCAAATTAAAATTATATACTTATAGCAAAATATTACGTGCTTTGAAATTACGAAAATTGAAAAAACAAAGTTGTTACTGCTGTAAATAATTTATTTTAATGATAGGATGCTGCGACGCACCTGCGTACTCAAAACACTTCGTAAATCTGTGATAACTTTATACTGTCGATTTGACAATATACACACACACACACGCGCGCGCGCGCGCTCGCGCACACACACACACACACACACACACATTTCTCGTATATATATATATATATAAATTTTTTAGCTCGGTATTTATAGAGACGGACAAATGTTATCACAAATGTCGTCTAATGTTAATTATAATTGAAATTCATAGCTTTCATTATATATATATATATATATATATATATATATATATATATATATAAGGCCTGTGTATACCATATAGTAGTGTACAATTAATGTTAAATGATATCTGAGCAATTAGAATTGTTTTTGAAACGATCCCTTCATTGTCAATGTCGACTTATGTAATTAATACAACATTTATATAATACCATTTGAAACGTCACTCGCTGAAAGATTATATCAATCTTCGTATAATCTATAATAAATTTGCTATTAAAACGATACACAATAACCGTCAATTGCTTGTTCCGACACTCCAGTGACCTTTATTTTCTCTTTATGTAACCTCGACTACGATAATTTTTTCGTTTACCATTCTCAGCTATATTTGAATATCTTTTAGTACGCTTTATCTGGATAACGTAAATCTAAAAGTGGATTTCTTTCTAAGCTGTTTGTTTTGTAGAAATATTATATATATATTGTAGTTAATATTTATATTGTAGTTGGAAATTTCTATATATTTGACTTATCTTTTTATCTTGCTATTATTTTATTTTTGTAGCTTCCAGGAAACAACGATACCTCTTAACCAGATCTTTTTTTACAAACAACTACTGCTACAGGATCGCCTTGTTGACGAACGTCTTCTGTTCGTTCACTTCTGTTATGAAATGGTATCTCAATTTGGTTTACGATATTGGAAAGCACGTGTGCTTTTGAATATTCACTGTGTTCAATCTCTTCGATGTGTTATTCATGCTCTTCTATATACTCTAGACCAAAGACAAGACCATGAAGCAAATACAAAACAAGCTGCACAGCAAACGACGCGCGTAACGTTGAATTGAGAGGGGAAGTCTTGCACGTTTATCTTTTCTCTGCAAACGTTCCTCGCGAAGTGTATCGAGGGAAACTTGTCTCGAAATTGAGTTTATATCTGCCATCCAACGACGTACATTTTTCCAGAAAACTCGTTTCCGTACGTTCCGAAAATTGACGAAGGAACTATGCGATGAAGTGATACTTCTTGATATGTTTTTCTTTCTAGATACACACACACACACACACATACGTATGTGATATTTTTAAAAATATGAAGAATATAGATTGTAGCTTTTTATATATACGCTTAACAATATAATGGCTTTATAAACTTGTGATAAGAAAAATTATTTTTGTCAGCTATTGAATAATGCAGACTGTTTAATAATTGAGAAAATTTCGTTACAAATATCTCCTCACAAATTAATTAAAATGCTTAATAATTTGACGTTGAGAGAAATTATTTCATTTTAAATATGGGCTTAATTTAATCGGGATATTTAATAACTGATGTTGAAAAAACCATTTATTTTAACTACAAATTTAATTTGACCTTGGGTGACCTGCATACGTCATTGTTACCGTTATAATTACTTCGCGTGACATAATCTGTACTGTAACCGCTTGAAATTTACAACGTAAGCATGAGCGCAATAGTGTTGGTGCGGTGTGAGACTGTGGGATTAAGCTTAAGTTTAAGCTGACGTCTGGCATCGCACTAATTGCATTCGAGCAATTAAGTAATTTGATATTACAAGCTGTACAACCAAAACAAGTCTACCGAGTGATCAACGGAAAGTTACTGAAATTAAACTTACTCTCGAGAGGAGCGAAGACTTGGACGTTGTAAAGGAAACTTTTAAGAATTTCCCGATAGGCCAAAGCGATTGATATAAAAAACGCAATGGAATTATAATCTTACTGTAAAGAGCATTGTTACCTCTTTCAACAAATTTGTGATTTTTTATATACTTTTAATACTTTTTATATACTTTTAACACCAAGGTATTATATTTCTTATGGCTATAATAGAATAGGTGTGGCATTGGAGAAGAATTAAAATGTAGAAATAAAATGGAGAAGCTTACTGTGATAATCGTGATAATCGGGAAGAAATACAACCTGTTTGTTTGAAGGTGTTTGCTATTTTTATGAAAATTTTGCTTTTCTTTATGCTATTATCGGATATAATCTTTCAGGAAAAAATAAGTTTTGTTATAAATATAATTTTTCCCTGCCTACTACAGGACAATGTCGTCAATCCCCTTAGAAATATATTATTTTACCAGGCAACATAAGTATAATGTCTGTTGGCCAATTTCTTGACCGGATATCGCTTATTCTGTCAAAATTGAACGACAGTGACGATGAGCTGCCACGCCTGACTACTCGTAGGCGGCGTCTTCATTTATTGTCGGTTTGTCCGTATGGGTTTCATCGTCTCTATATTCATCGTGAACTTCATTGGCAGGAAAAGCAGCATAATAGCTACAACTGTGCCCACGATAATTGGTTGGCTAATGATAGCCTTCGCAGCGTCGCTGTGAGTAATTACACGCCTTCTATATGAATATTTCGAGCGATATTCTACATTGCTTGTGGGATTAAAGGCATCCTCGCAGTATTGATTAAAATAAACAAATTTTCGATTCGGCTGTTAATTATTCCATTCTTACTTCAGCGAATGGACGAACGGATAAAAATTTGTCGCATCTTTTCTTGTAAATATATCTTTTCCTTTTCTAATGGATGAATGTTACGTGTTTGCTAACATTTTTTTGCACATATCAGTGAAACATAAGAATCTTTACGTAGCATAATTTTCATCGAAAATATGAAGAAATAATTTACGAAGAGGGGGAGAAAAAGGAAAGAGAAAGCACGATCAAAAAGTCTTCGGACGTTGTGAATTTTAATTTGTGATGTAGCTTTATAGCAACGTGTAAGTTTTAATTTACTTTATCGGATATACGTTTCTCATTAATGTGTACTGTATATATTAATATCAATAACGATATTGCTAATCGCAACAAACAGAGAGAGAATTAAAGTGATATTGCACTCGTAAAAAAAAAATTTGCACGACAGTGGTGATTGCTCCTAAACATCTCGTGATCTTATTAAAACAGACACAGAGACAACGTTCGTCTGGATATCAACTGTTCTCTGCGACGTACGTTGTTAAATGTACGTCGCAGAGAGTCACTCTGGTTAAAAAAGAATGCTATCTCGATTGTCCACTTTTCTAAATTGATTTTCTCACTCGAGAACTCGACTTTGACGAAGCAATTTTCTATAATTACCTCTCGATTTGACGTAATATCTGTAGGAAGAGACTGCGTTCTCGTCCGAGATCGGAAAATAGATTCGACCTGACAAAAGTTAACTCAACGTTTAAACTTTTCATCCTTCCGTCACTTCTCTGCTTCCTGGGAATTATATGTAGCGAGATTCGTGTGCGGGCTATCTTTGGGCATCTACGTGGCGTCGCCGATATATCTGGGTGAGTTTCCCCCGGCGAATATCCGCGGTATTCTGGGATCGTTCTTTGCGGTTTCTGCAAAATTTGGCATTCTGATCGCGTATTCGATTGGCGGCCCGTTTTCCTCCGTTTTTCTCTCGTGTGCGCGATCGTGCTTGTACCTCTTGTGTTCATGATCACTTTCATCTGATTGCCGAAGTCTACCATCTGATGTGTCGCGACGACAGGCAGGAGGCCGTAAAAACACTTGTTCAATCGAAAGGCAACGAGGATGTTAGCAAGAAAGCGGACACTATCGAGCTAGCCGTGAAAATCGATCTGGCGAACGACATTGGGCCCAGAGAAATTTTATTCATCCCGGGTAATCGCAGATGGTGTTTGGCCTTGGACTTAAAACTTTTGCAGATGAAAACTCTTTCAAAACTGGAATTTTTCTGGACGTTTCTAATTAACAATCGTCAAATAATCATAAGAAGATATTTTTCATCGACCTTGACTTCTTCAATGTTTAACACGCATATATGTAACTTGTGTCTTTCTTTTACAACGTATCGTGACGATATCGAAATCGTCGTGCTCTTCGCCGATCGAGATGTCATCAGATCGGCAAGTTTTACGTTGTAGGACGTTAGCCTGCTGGCTGAAATGGGTCTGATTATGGGATTGATCTTTGATCAGACGCATACTAACTTGAAGAGGAAACGGTCCTTTCGGGTCGATGATCGATGATCCTGATCGATTATTGCTGTAGGCGAATGTTGCTGATGTTCTCTTCGGTCGAGATGGACTGGCCGAAGCGTACCTTTATCTTCGACACATTCACGTGGACGCTAACGAATTAGAACGGTTGCCCGCCATTGCGATCTTGTATATGGTCATGTATTCCCTGAGTAAATTGAACGCCCATGAGAAGCTGAGAGCTGAGAAGGTTGACGGTTGTAATCCGCTTTCGGCAAAAGGTGACTTATACGCGCTTGTGGGAAGTGCCGTTTGATCTCGATGTTGGGTTTACATGTCTGCCAGTAATCTCGCGGGATAACGATACGTACCAAAGTGATTAGAGAATTAATCATTAATGATGTTGACGCAAGGGTGAGGACGTGAGCGGCGATCGAGTTGTAATTTAGCGGCGGTGCGCTCAACTCACGTTTTGCGCTTCGATAACGTTCTCTCTTACCTTTCGATGTTCCCTCCCTTTCGACGGGAACTTCTCTGTTTAACGTCTCGGTTTATCGGTCTTTGAGTGTCCCGAGCAGCTGACGCGAATCGTCCTCGAGACCTTTGATGGATCTTGTGAAGACTCGCAGAGACTCGCTCGCGGCCAAGGGTTGAAATCGGGCGAAATTCTTCATGCTCGATTGAGCGCAAGTGATCGTTACTACGTCACAAGTTAGTAGATAGGATTCTGACAAAGGTAAGTAAATCAACGGTGTTTGTAACAGATTTTTTCTTATAAAAATCCATTTATATATTTACATCGAGGCATCATTTTCATCATCCATCCTTTCCATTCACTCACACACTCGCGTACGTTCGCGAAGTGCACATGGCACTCGCATACATTCGGACTATTAACAATTTTCCACGTTTGGTCGAATATATTCCTTCCTGTTCACGAGTAATGGACGTGTCCATCGTCGCTTGACGGGGAGGACTGGCTGACCACGATCGTTATGGCGTCATTAGGTTGCAGCCAGGCTTTTGCATTATTGCGCTCAATTTTCGGCGAGCATATAGTCGGGATTTCTGCCGTTGGCATTTCTGAAACATGCATGTGCGTAACAGATACCTCAAAGAGCTATCCGCGTCGTCTGCTCATTTAATTATCTACAAAGGATAAAGTTGGACGGGCAAAAAAGCACGAGCAAACGAATATAAAAGTAGAGAAGCAGCTCTTCGTTTTTTCGGTGTCACGTGTCACATGTCACAGTTTTTCTTTTCTCGAAAATTTGGATTATTTTCAAGAAGCAATCGTCGTCATTACTGTCGTCGACGGCAGTTACGCGAGACGTCGTTTTATAATTTCGTTCACTTTCAGGTTTAACTACTCAAAGCTATCCGATGCACAGCTTTGAATGGTTAACAGCGGGATATATTTATTACAACGTTGAATTGACGTTCGAGATCGACGTATCTAGCACGTGAGATTGGAGCGATGAAAAAGGAAATACCAATAAAAAAATTTCACGCAATCGATGGGGCGGTACGGCGATAGTTTCAGTCGATGCGCAACCCCGCGGTTAGGACCATATTGGATAGTGTTACCGTGAAAGCGCGTGAGTAATAAGAGAAGATGAAAGTATTTAATTTCAATTCCGTCGACAGCCGCATATTTCGAACTACGTCGAATTCATTTTCGCGGCGCGATGTTTTTACCGCGAAATATTTGCTACGCTGCCGCGCGTATATTCGACGATTTTTCAAGCGAACGAGAGAGAGAGAGAGAGAGAGAGAGAGAGAGAGAGAGAGAGGGAGGGAGGGAGAGAGGGAGAAAGAGAGAGAAACAGGGAATGAAATGACACGTCACAACAATCGCGGTTTCCGTTGACGAGTGAGGAAAGCCATGACAGCAGAAATTGGTATCGAGCAAGAGCTTAAAACGCGCGAATTTGCGAGACGCCTGTCGAGATGTCGACGACAACAGCAGAGAGAACGACGCGCGAGACGTTTCTTCTGCTTTAATTTTCAGCTTCCTCTTTCTCGCTTTCTTTCGCAGCCCCGCGAGACAAAGATACACCAACATACACGTGATTACCTGGTCTCTGTACCTGACTCGGCGACGTTGTATCGGGGAACTGCACGTGTTTTCTCGACAGCCGACCCCCAGTGGGACTTCTCTCCGATAAGAGAGGATTGTGACACGCCGTGGGACTTTGAGTCGGCGTGGCCTTTGTCTCGTTGTTGGTCGCCCCTCTTCGTGAACTTAAACACGACGTGGCGGTCGTAGTCGGCGGCTGAGTTACGTATTTTACCACTGGAACCTTCAAAGAGTACCCTATGAGACGTGTTTACAGCGAACAAATTTCGCGATGATTCAACAGTTGCTCGCCGGTCAAAACACACACGTTTAGCGAGAAGTCCTTTCGTAAGGGTTTGCAACTCAAGTCGAAGCACCGTCACGAGGAAATCGTCTCAGGCTATTGTTCTCTCGTTTCTCTGAGATCGACCTCGAATCGGCAAGGATAGTATCTTAGAGACTGTATCCTCATGTTGCTCGCACATGTCGACGCAACTTGCGACGAGAGAGAAGAGGTTCGTATGCTGCGTTTTGTGACGTACGGAAAAGAGAAGACGAGGAGGAAGAAGATACAACGCGGACTACCTAACGTACGATCAATTTCCGTGGGATATTGATTACGAAATAATGGACGTTGCTACGGATATCCTCTTACTTCATTACTTCGTTAGCTTTCAGGAAACATGCGATCGCGCTCCTCCTCCGTGGACTAACCGTTGATTCAGCGTTATCGCTCTTCTCGTTTCTATCGTTGCCCGAGCGATACCTACACCGGATCGCTTTCTACCGTGTGTTTACTATTACTGTTGCTGCTACTATAGCCTGAGAGGGAATCCTCATATTCGCATTATACGATACTCCCACGAATCGTCTGCTTCATCTCGGTGGAGTACATTCCCGATACGTTCGTACATATATTTACATTTTGCCGGGTAAGCTTTTCGCGAGACGCGGCTGCGACCGAGCAATCCACTTTACTCTTTCTCCCGTACCCCGTCGTTTTTCCGCTCTCTCGTGAACTTTTCGACAAATACTAACCCTGTATTCGTAGTCATGCGCGGCGGTGCCGCGACCAGCCAGATATTCTTGGTACTGCGAGATGACACATAACAGCGAATACACCTGTAAGGGGCACGATTATTTACGCTGAGCGATTGAACGTCTGCGAAAATAAGTAACGAGTGTAATAATTAGCAGTCGAATAATCGAATAACACTCGGATAATTAGTAATCAGTGTTTTTTTTTATTAACGGTTACTAATATTCGTTCTTCTTCTTTCGTTTTCTACTTGGTGTTAATTCACTTCGAAGATCGCATCTGCGAAGAGATTAGGCTCCTTTTATGTTTTACATTATCATTTGTGAAGCAGAATATATTGTCTTATTGTACTTTATTACGCGGGGAACTTGAGATATCCTTCGACGAGTTTTGCTGGTTGCTGGCGATCTCTATGTGCGATTACGACCGTGACGAATATGCAACATTACTTAGTCAGAGAGTACTTACGTTCAAGCAGAGGAGGAAGAAATTTAACGTGTAGAGCATAACCGTTGCCGGGATGAAGTTGGGCTACAACAACAAACCAATTTAGCTACAATTAGTTCGTTAGACCTAATTTACATATTCAAATGCATCTGGACAGTATGGCAGTGCCTTGCGAAAACGAACGCGAATATGCTTCGTGTTATTTTCCGCTGAATGTATTCTTGGATTTTCCACGGCTTATTCTGCAAGACTGTCAACTTTAGTTTTAATAACTCTCGCGCAGCACGACGCTGCTTCTCCTAAAATAGTTACGACCCTTTTAAGCGATCGTTTATTCGTAACTTTCGAGCGTTCAAAAAAATGAAAGAAACGAAGATAAAAAGGAGAAAGTACATATTATATAAATCGTTGAAAATTTTAATAGATCGCCATGTTGCGTAAAACTGTCCAATAAAAAAATGTATTATATGCAAATTTATATCGTGCAACGCGTTCTAACACGTTATTAATTATAAATTCAATATGAAAGTTTTCTATATAATAAAAATGATAAATATTGAAATCATACGTATGAGGAGAGGGTAACTACTAACTAAAAAATTCTTTCTTCAATATTCTTACTATATATTTAGAAATTTACGTCGTTAATTTCCTGTTCGATCTTTAAACTATTTTTTATCTCTGCGTTTCCTATGTGAGTTAGTTTTATAAAAAAATTGACCAGCTAAACGGGATATTACCCACAGTGAGATGTTGCAGCTTGAATAGAGTTCGGAGTTATCGTTCGGTTTGACATAATAATAATAATAATAAGCGAATCAATTATTATCGAGTCATAATTGAATTACCCTCGATAATTATTGTGTGAAGATATATTCGAAAAAGCGCTCTGCAAAATACTCACAGCGACGAAGATCAGGTACAGAGAATGCGCTACGTCGACGAAGCCGCAAGCGATCACCACGATGATCCACGGAATCAGCAACATTTTGCGATCCTGGGAACAATTATTTACGCGGGAATGAGCGATATTCGCGAAATGCACGCGTGTTTCCTGTGAAATTTCTATCTCGCGATTCAGTTTCGTAGCAAACGGAATGTTTTGCGAATTTCAAGAATTTTAAGTTAACGCATAACGCGTTTTCATTCAGTCTGCGATTTTCGTATTTTGAAGTAATAAAACGCGGAAAAGTGCGGTAACATGAAATTTCCGCAAAATGCTCGGTAATGCGATGTAATATGCGGCGGGTATATTCTCTTTGTTGATTTTTTCAAATTAGACACTTTTCATGCGTTACGCGCGCGCGCGTGCTCCCTCGAAAGCTTGTCATTAGCGGCGTCTGCCGCTATTAACATTTATGAATGTACACTTATGGTGCTTATCGTGTGGAGCTGTTACGGTTTGTTTTATTAACGGTATTCGTCATAGTCAAACGGATCTACTCAGAATAATGAGATTCTTAACGTGCACTCGCCCTCTCTCTCTCTCTCTCTCTCTCTCTCTCTCTCTCTCCCTCCCTTCCTCGCTCGTCCACGCGAGTTTATGATCTTTGTCACTCGTAATAATATCTAACACGCAAAGAGAATTGTACTGCGCCTTACCGACGACTGGTGTATGCACAATGTCGTGGCGAAAAAACCCCTCTAGTCAGTAAGAAAAGTATTTGTCAATATCGCGCAAATGAGAAGGAGTAAGGGGAGAGAGAACAACAATAAAACCTCGTGTGAGATATTTCAGAGAAAATATGTCCGGAAAAAATTGATAGACCGAAATGAAGAATCGATATATTCGTCTGTTACGTAATCGTATCGCACAATCTTGGCAATGAATGAAGAACAGCGCGCGCGGGCGAGTTCGGTTTTCTATTTTTATTTTAAAATTTATCTGTGATTGTATATACTCAAACATACACGACACATAATGCAAGAAAGATGTAAATAAAAAATTGAACTCCCTCCATCAATGATACGCTGCATTGAGAAATTTATTAGCAGTAGCTCATATAAATCGTTTATTCAAATGTCCATTCTACGTTGCGTTTAATGGAACGTACCTCCTGGGAACAACGCGTTTGCGTCATACCTGTAGCTTTTCATACTGCTTTCATTCGGGGGAGCAGCGATAGTGCTGTTTCATTACGTTCCAAGTGGAAGCGAAAGTATCTTCCAGCACATTTTCACGGGTTCGAGTTCAGTAACAAACATAATAGATGTGAAAATGCCCGCGAAAATCCGACGTTTTGAGGAAGACGAATGATTTTTGGTGTGCAGGGCAACAGGAAGGGAAATTTATTCGGGTAAACTTATAATACACGTAGACACGAAAACATGAGTATAAATTTCGCCGCGGGGGAAAGAGGGAAAAATTTTCGTAAAATGATGAGATGGGGATTTCACCGTTTCTCTTCTGTCTGATGTAAGTAAGAGGGAGCGTCTAAAAAACGAGACAGTTCTACTTATTGTAGGGAAGACAAGCAGTTCGTCTGAATATTCTACAGCTTTTCCAACCAAAATCTCTCCTACGCGATCTGCGTGTTAATTCGGACGGACAAGTGAAACAACACTACGCTAGACACATTCTATCGATTGCTCCGAAATTTGGCCCTACCTTCAATAAGCCGTACAAAAGAAGGAGGCTGCACAGCACGCCGCAGCAGGAGCAGACAAGCAGCATTGCGTTGAACCGAACCGTCGCTGAAGCAATAGAAGCAGATATCGTTTTAAGCGAAGCCGACTACTACTTGTGGACACGAGTGCTCTCGTACACAATTCCATGCGTGATATACCACGAGAGAGAGGTGTATATCTCCCCCGTTACAGCACAAAAATTAAATACGCTCGCGCGTCGTCGACTCGCAGTAGAACTCGCTTTTGAATTTTATAACGCGTTACGCACACGCGATTATGCGACCGACGACGTGCGGTACTTACTCGGCGATATGGTTCCCGCCTCCAGCATGCTGGACGACTCCGGCAGAGAGCGGTTCCCCGTCAAGTACTGGCTCTCTTCCAGCAGGACCATGCCGGTAGTCAAAGCCAACACCGCGAAGTATATCTGGAACCGAGCGAGAGTGTTCCCAATTTCCGCGAGATTTCATATTATCCCGCGTGGTAATAAGCACGGCCCGGATAGAGTCTATTTAACGCGTGCGCTCACTCGCGATGTAATCCGATAAAAATTTTAATCGAAACTTTAGTCAATTATGGTCGAACTTTTAATAAGATTGAAAAGAGATTTCTAAGCCCCTTTCTAGCCCTTCTAGCCTTTCTAGCCTTCTAGCCTGTCTTTATTTAAGCAGAATGTAATTCAGCGTACGCTCGTCCATATACATTGCGCGTCTTAATAATTGGCATCTTTTCGCGCAATTGAATCTCGTCTCCACCGGATCGAAATGTCCTGCACAGATGTCCTGATCTTCAGATCAGCAGATGTCCTTAGCTTATAGATATATATGTATATACGTTGCGGTATCGATTTACGCAAATGGGAAGTAAAAACAGCTGTGACAGGTGACGGCGGTTCAATATCCAGAGAATAATTCGATTTTGCGCTGGCACTCGAGGCAATCCGGCTACCAATTTGCAGCCGGAAGGCCACGTATGTCCGTTGCAATAATCCGAGTTAGTTTAATTCGGGCATCGTCAGCAAGGGAGATCTCGTCGATGCCATCCAATCCTGTGCGGGTTTCGATGTTATAAACAAGTATTGATATATTAAACGAATATACCAACGTCCTCGTTTTCATTTGACGTTCGTTAAAATGGGCTTTTCGGCACCAAGACGACCATGACGACGGCGGTCGAGTTTCAAGGATAGCTCCGATTCGTGATTCGTGTTTTATAATATTTCGCCCGAAAATGAGAGAAGAACGAGCGCGAATGTTTGCAGTTTAAGAAATTACGAGTTTAAAATTTGAAATATTCAGCCAGATTTCCGGTTCTGTAAGGCTCTAAAAAGTGTTAAGATCCAAGAGGTAGGAAAACATTCTCCACCGGAGTTCGATCGAATTCGATACATTCATGCACGAGTTGTATCGTGACTATATTCAGAGCAGACGCACGGAGGCGGGCGCGCGACACGTCGAAGATCACGGAGGTTGATTTATCGATCACTTTATTGCAACGTGGAGACCGAAATAGTCCAGGTTCTGTATTATTTCTATTCAGTTAATTCTCCCCATGTAATGTACGCAATGATCACGAATGAGTCACGCAAACGACGCTAGTAAAGTCCGTTGATCGTTCCGAAATTCTTTTCTAACCTAGCAAAGTTCTAGTAAACAAGGACAGACAATACACGGTAAAGGCTGTGGCATACAAAACGACATAGATGCATATGCGTAAATCCGCCTCGACTAATGAGCATCTAGGAAAAAGTTGCCATGTTCATTTACAAAATAATATAACTTTTTCCTAGACTTCTTCATTGGTTGAGACGATCTTACGCGATGCAAACGCATTATGTCATTTTGTGTGCGACGGTCTTCAGCGGCAACTGCTGCATAGTACAGGACCGCTATAACTGACGTCGGAATGTGCATCGGATAATCGAACATTACGGTAGATAATACATGCTGATTGTGTGAAAACGCCGTACGTGCGGGCGCTCGGCATAATTCGGCGGTGGCGCACCAAGGACGCGTGACCTTCAAGATTAGGCGTCTTTCGGTGTAACGACGAGTGTGTCAACAAAACGGCTAGACCTTCGATATGCCCGTGTATATCGCATTCCTTCGCGAAGCATCGACGGCGTCGTTCGGCGCTGCTTTCGCGCGTCGACCGTTACGGTAAATAACAGGAGCGTCGTCAAATTTGGAGAGTGAGCGTTTCAGAGAAGTGACGCGCTTGCCGGCGCAATAACAAAACATGTCAACAAAGCACATAAGTCCGCGACACGTCCGGATACGCCGCATTTCTTCGCGAAGCATCGCGATGGCATCATTCGCCGGGACGCTGTCCGGTGTTTTTAAGTGTCGCGAATTTATCGTGTACGATTATTAGTTTTCGTACGTTAATTTACGATATCGACGTCGCGGTTGCGCGTATCGGTCATTACAGTGGACAAAACGGGAGTGTCGTAAAATTTTAGAGAGCAAGCGTTCGAAATTGCGCGTTTGTCGGTACGATGGCGAAACGTGCGAAAAGCGCGACATGTTCGTCCATGTCGCGTTCCTTCGCGAAGCGTCGATGGCGTCGTTCGTCGCTTCTCCGTAAGTGTCGCGAAATTTATTACTGCTCTCGCGTGTGTTAATCAGTGTATATGTGTTAATTAATTTGTACGGTACTCGCGTCGTGATCGCGTGTGATTCACGAGTGAGCAGCGGGAGCATCCACGCAAAATGTGAAGGGTGAGTGTCACGTTCTAATTTTCATCCTCCTAATTTGTCGGGATCGAGCGCGATCCTTCTACCGCCGCTCGTAACTAATAACAGGAAAACTACTCGTTGTTTCAGATGCTGTTTTTGCGAACGGAACGACCACCACCGATAACCACCACATCGCTGTGGTTTCCAGAGGATGCCTGTCCCGGAGGAACCGGTTCGGGCCAAGCAGGGTTGGCTCGATAGTAAGTTCATAGATTCTGTATTTCTATATTTAACCTTTTACAATCGAAATCCGGGCTACAGTTAACTGTAACGACTGTTGGGATAACTCGAATTTACGATCGCGAAAGGTTGATCGAATCGTATCTATGCGTATTTGTTTGACCTAAACTTAACCTCGAATTGATTAAAACGGTCGTTTCTATGTTTCAGCAGAGTATGGCCAACCTTGACTTCCATCGTTTCGGTGAGTAAGAAATGTAAACAAAGAATTCTAAGTTGATGGTTTTTTTTTTAATCTCATTGATCGCCTCGAGCAGTCGCGCTTCAAAAATAAATACGAATTTACCGATACACAGTGTCAGTTATAAATCATAGTTAAAAACTTATTAAATTATTTTTTTTATAAATCTTGGGTATGCTCCTTTTTCATTGTTCATATTCTTGATTTGTGTCATCAGTTGATTGTTACGTTACAATGTTAGTTCATTCAGAGATCGTTTAAAATTGCAAATTTTATCAATAAAGAGAGAAAGAGAAGAAGATAGACAGAGATATTAAAAAAGAAGATTGGTTGACACGTGTCACCCACGCGACTGCTCCGGGGTTAAAATCACTACTTGCGTTATTACAAATAAAAAGTTGCGTCATATTTCGATATATACATTGCTCGAAATAATTACGGCATCATTTGTATCTTAATATTTTAAACGATATGCTCGGAGTGACTTTACATATAATTCTAATCATATTTTTGCCTTCATATTATCTTTTTAAATATTTTATGTCTTTTATTATGTCTTTATTCCACTCTATCCTCCTGCAAAAAAAGAAAATAAATAAATAACGTACCTACTCTCATATACCTATTCATTTGATTACACATAATATTTTACATACATTGTATATACATTGTTCTCTCTTTTAATAGTTTATGCTGTTTTAATTTTCTCTTATAATAATATACTTCTTACTTCGCATCTCTATTTTAAATTTCTACAAACATACATAAGTTTTAGCTATATGCCTTTGCATATTTGCACCTTTTATATTCAAATACAGAAATATTGAGTTAGGTCGTTGATTTCCCGAATTTCGAGCAGTGAATATATTTCGAATACATGCGCTGAATTTAAAAATGAACTTGGCATAGAACTTTTCGTCGAGGTTCAAAATAATTTAGTGCTGAAAGGATTAAACGATGGTCATCGCGCTTTATTAGGCGGCTGAATTTCCCCGGGGTGTCCAGCCAGACACATTAGTTCGGCTTGTTTGTCCGTAGATAGACAAGCTTCCGCGAGTTAAGCCTGAGGACACTCATATAATATATATATATATATATATATGACGTGATATTAATTAATATTGCAACGAGTGGTGCGCGAGGGAGCGTACGACGTGTGAGTTTTGCTTTAAATTAAACGAAAAGTTGTACAATATATATATATATATATTGTCGTTACCTTACGCGATATCGCATTGTAAAGGTCATTCTACAATACGTGTCGTAAGTTGTAAGCCGTAAGAACTGACCAATTATAGTCGATTATTTTTGTTATAATCGACTGTGATTCACCAATTCTTACGGCTTACAACTTACGACACGTATTGTAGAATGACCTTTACACAACGCAGAGTACGCTTACATTTTCAACACGCATGTCGCATTCGCGTGTCATATTCTAGTATACGTATCGTGTTTTCGTATTGTTTATGACGATTTTACGCGCGGCAATGCTGTGAATACTAAGGCTCGGATGTCTCACTATTTTTAAAGCGAATAGCACAGTTGGAGTTTAACACTCAGCATTGTTCCGAGAACAAATCGCGCGCGAGAGAGAGGAGAATTTGTCGGGGCGCGAGACGCGACGTCGAACTTCTTCCCCGCGGCGAACGTTTGTACGCACACGCGCTCATACAATTGAGATTTATTTGCAAAATAAACTGAAAAAGAGAATTGAGATCATCGTGGTAGCGGCGAGGGAAACTTTATAAAACGATCGATCGTAGCTACTTGCGCGTGGCCATCCATACATGTCTGCAGAGAGAGAGAGAGAGAGAGAGAGAGAGAGAGAGAGAGAGAGAGAGTATTACATGTATTTTAGATTAATTTATATGCGACGGATGACAGAGACGCTCAATATTTCCGTCTCGCTTCGACTATTTAAATTTATCAACGTTGATCTAACCACCGAAGAAACGTCTTTTAATTAACATCGGAGAAGCGCCGCAACGAAAACAATTATTTTGCCCCAGATCTGGCTTTCGTTGATTCTTTTTTTTTCTTTTTTTTTCCATTTCCTATTACTTTTCTTTTCGATGTAAAAGCATATCTTGATTATAACGTGCACGCGCGTGTACGACAATGCTCGTGTATATTAATGGACCGGTAGTTAATTTGAGAATTATAAATAAATTCTCGACTCGCACACCTACAGACACATAAACCTGCAATATTTTACTGGTATAATTAATGTGTAGGAAATTATATTAAATTAAACGTTTCTCGCTGCCGCCGAACGTTTTCCCGAAATAATATTGTTTTAAGCCGTCGCACACAACATGATCGCCGTATATAATTACGAATAAATTTGAAACTCATACATATGCATGCTCGTAATATTTTGCGCGATATACTTATTGCGACTGATTATATCGAATTAATAAACGTCGGTCGCGTTTCCTGGGAAGATATTACTTTTAAGTGACGCGTCGCGAGATCATGCACGCTGGATATGCATATAATTAATTAGTTCTGGATAAAGTCGCGGATCAACTTTTTTCCGTTATTGCTTCGGGTCAGACGCCTTCGAATCTCGGATGTCCTCTTTCTCTCTCTCTCTCTCTCTCTCTCTTTTTTTTTTTAACGTGCTGTATGGCGAAATTAAAAGGGCTCGGAGGCTGTTGCCGCTAAAACCGTGCACCGGAGACCGGTAAAGGGGTGGGAAAAAGGCAAAAACACGTCTCACAGCTTCGTCCTATCCGTCTCATCGCGTCTCTCATCCCCTCGAGCTTGCTGACTGGGCATATTGCGCGGCTCGACCCTCCGTTTCAGGATCGTATTTATGGTCACTCGAATCTCTCGTTCTATAAATCCATCAAGAACGACGCGGTCCGAGTGAGCTTTTAAATTTTAAACGACGATAAAAGCGATTCGCATGGCGACGCCTTGCATAAACATCAATCGGGAAGCGCGGTTCTGCTTTGTTGCATCGTATCACACCTTGAAAGTACTTTCAAATGGGTTTTTAAAAAAGAATTTCCTCTAGCAGAAACGCTGTCGCGAGTCTGATTATCGGCGAATCGAGGCCCAGCAAACCTAGCCTATAATATATTTTCGGATAGCGAAAGAATATAGATTTTCGGCGACAAGGGGATGTTTAAGCTTCCCAGGAGAAGAGAGAAAGCAAGTCGAGGCTGATGAACAGATTTGGGACGCATGTGTCAAATAATTCGGTCCTTTCGAGTTGGCCAATTATTGTAGATGGTTAGTGACACGATCAGATATTGGTGTGAGCTCGACGTCGTAGAATAAATGCTGCCTGGCGTTACAGAGTGTATAATGAGGTCGGGCTTTTGTAATCAGCACCTGAGGACCGAATGAAACAATTAATGGAGCCGGCTAACCGGCGCCGCGCACTTTGCCCCTTCTTCTTCGTTTTATTTTTCTCGTTCTCTTTATGAATATTCGCAGCCGCGAGGAGTAACGATAACTGTGCGACAATGATAACGTTGATCCCCGGAAAATAAGATTCTCTCGCGAGCGCGTCAAGTCCTAACTGTTTGTCGCCGCGAATTAAAGTACGCTCGGCGGTTAAAGGAGCACTGTTTCTTCGCCCGGAAGATAATCGGGAGATAGGCGGAAGGTTAACGACGACGATTATATTACGTTCCGTTTAACTTTAGCGATTATAAGATAAAGATTGCCCGACATGTGTTTAATTTCCTTCCCTCCGGCGGTAGTCTCCCGCGGAAATTAACAATATGACTTTCGCGTAACTTCTACGCGCTCTGGGTATGTTTCGTGAGTATTATTAATTTCATTTCAAATTATGCAAATTCTCGTCGGATAACAGTTTGACGAAGTTCCTTTCGTCTTCCCTGCGCGCGGATGCTATACTCTCCTCCGTTCTGTACTCCGTTCTATCTAATCTTTACGCTTCTCGTAATAATCCGCGAACGGGAAGCATTTTTATTATATAACAAGTGCGTTTCGATTCCACGTTACGCTTGTGTCGCAATGAGAGCACGTACACGCACACTGTAACGAAACACGAGATGGATATTTTCGCGTCGAATAACGAAAATACGCGGCGTTTATTTTGTCCGGGAAATTGTGATGCAAATTCGTATTTTAATATGTTTTTATCGCGGTTGTGTTACGCAAAGTTTTAATCGAGAAAAATCGTCGACGTTTTTAATCACTTTCACGACTTTCATCACACGGAGATTGAATCGAATACGTTGGTGAAATTTTTCTTTAAACAAATTAATGTAATTGACAACATGGAGAATGCATTGCGCGCACATTGTCTGGTGTTTTTTACGATTCAAAAGCGTTCTGTCCATTAAAGGAAAATCGAAAAATGTCGCTGTGGACCGAATCCGAAAGGCGAAATTGTCCGCGGGTCGAGTGCTAGGTTGCGGCGACCTTGTTCGCAGTCGAAAGCTTTTGCGGATATTGCAAAATATATCGGTTCGAGTTCCCCCTTTTTTATGTAGTCGTTACAGCTGTTTCCGCGGAAATAGTGACGAAAAAATGTGTCGCGTCGAGCAGCGACTTCGTGAGGAAGTGCGTACGCATACGCGAACGTATGAGTGTATGCGTATGGGTGTAACATCGCACATATTCATGCAAATATGCATATTTCGTCTGAATTGATATGTTCCCGAGAGGACACGCTGATCAATAGTTGTTAGTCGGTTCAATGATGCAACCGGAATACGTGGTATACGCGATGAAATGTTCTATTATTAATAAACCGTCGATTGCGATAGTGATCAAATGTCCAATATTACGTGTTGCGTTCGCGATGTATCTCCATATAAAATTTACAACGGTTTGTCCCTCTCGTGCCTTTCGGAGTCGATTTACATGGAAACAAAAAAAAAACAAATCGTTGAAGAATTTCTGTCAAAACACATTTCTATTTTTCTATTTGTTTATATTTGTGTTTTAATAAGTCTGATAAAAAATATGGAAGTCTTTCTTCCATATCCCGAGATTATTTTGAGAAAAAAGAAAAGTAAAATGTCAGAATATACTTTTTCCAGCGCTGCGAATCCATCGTTTCATTCTTTGACTCTTCATATATTATTGGCTCGATATAATCACCGATCATAAATTACTTTTGTGTATTTACACTGACGTTCTATTTTATTTTATATTGTATCATGGCTGAGAGATGCGGGATATATATTTTTTTAATGCACTAATACTATATTCATTACTTTATCGACGCAAGAGTATTGATTTCGTATTTTGAAAAAAAGGAACTTTTTATACAGATTGGGAAATGTGCGAAAAATGTAATTTTATACTTGCGCAAACAAGAAACAATTTCGTTTTTACAATGTTAGATTTGAAAAACGTGAAGATCGAAAAGAACGTCATAAAATTCGAAATGAACATTAAGAAACATTAAGAAATATATTAGATATTTTCTTGATATTTTTCAAACATTCTTTTTGACTTTGACGAATATTTCTATGCCAAGCATGCGTCTAATCATTTTAGACGCTCTTGTTACGAACAAGGTAAGTCCCAAAGCGGAATTTATGCGGTGGCGTTTAATTTCACCACAGCAAGTGAAACTATATATGATATTAAAGATTGATTGAGCGAACTCTTGTTCTTACTATCAACCATACGAAAGCCACCAGTTAATCTCGCCGTTTCTTACGAGCGAGTTTCGTTGCGCTCGACTAATGACATAATTGAATTTGATTCAGTAAATGGCTTCGTATTGACATACGAATGTTGCGCATTAACGGAGTATTTGCGTAATTTCCGTTATATAATTATATTACGAAATGCGCACATATCTGCGCGACGATATATTTTGCAATGTGGTTGGATATATTTCCAATCACGGGATCTTCGGATCTTTTATATATTTTTACATGATTTATATTTTTTATGATCTATGTGTTCTTATATATTGTTACGAAAAGGAGAATTTTGAAAATTATGTGATATATCGTAATATTATTTAGCGTTACGCTTTAAAACGCACGATTCGATATTGACTCGCACTACTAATTCGTATGACAGCTCCACCAAAAGTGATGAAGTCGTGCATTAAACGTACACGTATCTATCTCCGGTTACTCATCAAACATATTCTATTAGACAAATTGTTCTATTTGTTGCACAAATTGTTACATTTTTTCACATTGCAACGCAAGAAGCTTTTGATCGCATCTAATGCGATATAATCTACAACTTTATGACAATATTTTTTTGCAATGGTTGCTTTTTATCGTTGCTACTCCTTATTACATATATACAAACAAAGTCTAAATATTAAAATCTAAAATTTCACACTTTTTGCGACTAAACACGCGTGAAAAAATCGGCACGTGTAAAATATTCTAAAATTTCTAAAACTTTCGAAATCAATTTCGTCTCGTGCTAAAATAGGCGCGCAAACAGCCATGCGTAAAAATCAAAAAGTACAGGTAGGAAAGTAGCGTTTGTGTCCCATCGAGCTAAATTCGCGTGTTAAACAATGTATCTGGAAAGTTCACCTTTTTTCATTCGCTCTTACTCGTGATTTCGGCCAATTTCCCTTTCAGCGATTCGGTTCGCGGTCTGCACCGTCTCATTAAAGCGCACTCGTCATTAAACCGCCGCGGTACTCACTCCGGTATAAATCGCACATGCGAAACTGCCCCTCCGTACGGACTGCCAACAGCAACAGGACTGCATGATAGCCATGCTGCGAGCACATGGATCCCCCGCGGAATTCGGAAATGTTCCTTCGTGCGACTTTCAGCCGCGATGTAACCCAACTTCCTCACGACCGTATTTTCTCCTTCTTACGTCGCGATCAATCTAAGCTCGCGCGCTCGGATCATCCTGCGAGGTCGCGGACTCCTGTGCCGCGACGCAAGAATCAAGGGGGTAGAACGGACGATATCGCGCGAAGATGGCTCAGCGCCGACTGCCTCGCTCTCGGTCTCGTGGAATTCCCTCCTGGAGTTATCTCCGCGCCGCGGCGAAAAGCCTGAGGACGCCTGCGCGAATATGTCTATAATGTCCCATCGCCTATGGAGTCTCTTGTAGCCGCGAACGCGATCAGCCTGTTGACACGTATTATATTACCGGGAGGAAAAAGCAAAATTGAATCGGAAAGTACGTTTTCTTACGCGGTATACGCAGCGACACGTCCCACCGCTTCCCTTTCTTTCCCGGCCGTTGATGGGAAAAGTTACTCGGGCGACGCGATTTTCGTGCGTTTGAACCGCTCGATCGGTTTCTCTCGAGATTTTCTATAATCGTCGCGTCTTTGCGTCTTTGCCCGACGCCGATTTACTTTAGCTGCGACCGTTGGCCTCATCGTTACAGTCTCGATGAATACACCTTACCGAAGGTGACGTTGGATCAAGAGTCGTGATGAGCGACTTTTGCGATTTCGCGAGAACGTTCAGCAAATCGCGTTTTAACGAATAAACGGGCGCGGTTATTAAAGTTAAATATAGGAGTTATAAAGAGTGTTGAAAAACATCACGCGAAGAAGAGACACGTTTAAAATTTTTTCTTTATTACAAAGTTACTACAAAGAGTTTGTTATAGGATCCCTTGTGCGAAGTTTCGGATTCGGTGGGGTATATAACGTGAAATTGACGATTCGTTATTAGCGTTACGAAAAGTATTGAGACACCAGCAGAGCGATCTTTATGACGCGGCTTGTTTACGCGTTATGCAGTTACTACTTTAAGGCCCCCGTTTCATATCTTGCGAGTGTGTACACTCCGATCGATTTGCCATATTTTTCCGGCGGAAATGGAACCGTGATGTCGCGCTCGCCATGTTGTGCATCGCGTACGTTTCTTCCTCCCTTTTTATTCGTTCGAGAATCATCGCTCGAATAATAATCTTTTACAAGCGGAAAGATGTGCGTTCTGTGTTAAACTGCCAGCGTCGAATGAATGAGTGCAAGAAGGTTCATTGTTCCAATTACTCGCATTTCAAAAAATAGTACTTAAACTCCCACATTTTAATCACATCTGTGTTAAAAGCTCAGTTATATATTGAGGGACGATACGACGTTCTATTGCATTTATCGGACGAGAAATTTTTTCTTTTTTAAATCGCATTACGCATCTTTGCGTGCGATAATTACAACAATAAAATTCTACGGTTGGCAGCAAATCAATTTTCGGCGAACTCGCGACACACGTTAAACAACGTTGAGGATTCGATAGGGCTCCAATTTTATTTTTTACGTGTATTGTGTACGACCGACGGATTAATTCCGCGTATTTCCATGCGAACACGAGGCAAAATTGATTTGATACACGCGCTAATGCCGACGTATATAAATCAATGTAGATTTTATTCTCGTTTCTCTCAATTAATACTGATCAACTGTCAGCTGCATGATTTATAAAGTTTCCACCTATAATCGTTATCGCGACTGGGGGGATCTAGCGCGCGCTGGATGTCAGACGCGATTATTTATTTACTTATCCAGACTGTTCGCGTACTTTTCTTAGCCCGTGTTATTGACGCTCGTTATTGTTTCAATACGTTTTCGTTATTATTATCATCGTTTCGTGTGGAAATGATCGCGTTCATACGGGAGACATACACACGCGCTGTTGCTCCTTTGGCCGTGTTGTCGTTTAATCAAATCGACCTTCGACCGTAAACGATCTGAAAAACCGTAATTATGGAACGCGGAATGTGCGCGCAACGCCCGCGCTCGCCACGAGAGGCGTCGGATTATCCTTTTAAATAACCATCGCAAATAAACCACCGATGCGTGTAGCGTGATATAAACGTTTGCGCAGCGAGTCGCGCTCGGCGAACCGGACATTTATTCGTACGAGACCGGAGTCAAGGCGAGATTCCGGATTTGCGCGAACACAATCCTGCCGTAATCCAAGAGCGAGGAAAGAGAGACACGAAGTGCGCGTTCGCTGCAAGACACGGGTGATATTAGACGAGTTGCGTTCGCGAGAATGCGGCTGGAATTATTATTAAGTAACACGGACTGTTATACTCGGCGCTGGCGGTATCTCCGATATTTGTACCCGACTGAAACTCTAATGAATAAACAAGACGCACGGATACGTAGATGTAAATAAACTCCTGCACGCGCGTGCGCGCCGGAGCTTCGTATATCTTCCTTTTGACACCGAGGTTGCAATAAGGAATCGGGAGCGACTTTACGACGGTAAAGTTCCGTCGACTCTGTATTACGCAAATAGCGCGGTAACTTGGGCGTACCCTCGTCCACCGTCGCGCCGACGAAGGGATTAAAACTTGCGTAATGAAGTTAAGGTGGCCGACTACTTCGTCTTTGGTACGAACGAAAGTTGTACTTTTCGATACCCTCGTTTCTTTCCGAGTACGGTAGGAAACCGTTGTTTTTTGCACGGGATGATGACGGGAAAAAGCGGTCGATGATTTTAAGGCTTTACTGTCTCCGCGAAGGTAGTTTTCTTAGTTGACATAAGTGAAAAAATAGTTTTTCGATGTGAGGTGATTTTTCGCTGCTGGTTGTGCACGGTCCATCAAACGGATGATCCGTTTGCAATTTTGCTTTGCACTTTTGCTCGCAGGCGGAAGAAAACAAAAACCATTTGCTGCTCCGTATAATCCTGCTTGTCTATTTGTGGCAAAATCGAAAGTCGTTTTTAATTCCGACAAAGTCGATCTTTCGATCTGTCTCGATTGAGCATTTAGTGTTTCTTTTCGCGAGTCCTGTAATTCCCTGGTGTCCTTGAGCCCTACTTTCAGAGTATACTGTACAGGATAAGAACATAAAATAAGAAACGTTTTATTTGCGAAATGCTTGGGTGAATACTTTCGGGGAATGATACATGCGCGTGTACGATTCGGTTTCTTAAATATTCCGGGAATTTTTACGGCCGAATATTCACGCGCAGGACAAGCTTTTACACCGGCGAAATAATTGGCTGTGACAATATTGCGTGACGAAAGTGTGAAAATATTGCGCGGTTTTTGTGCACGGGGTTAAAGATTGATTCATATCGTGGCTGTCTATTATCCGCGGTTATTTTGTGTCCGAATATTTCCGAGCGGATTCTATCGATCTGCGCCCGCATATAGCTCATTTCTGAAATTATACCGGCCACACGCGATAAACACGCTTAGACGGAAATATTCGCTGCAGTAAAACTGACGCTGACACTTTCGCATGTATCAAAAGCAATAGGCGTGTTTTGTGCAAAATTGAAAAATTATCGTTAATGAACAATCAGTTAATTACGATCTATTTCAGTTTCGAATACTAGTTATTACAAGTATGTAATAATTTATCTGTGAAACGCGCTGTTTACTTGTACCGTTCGATGAATAATTTCATCTTCCAACCATTTTAAATTTTCAGTACAGGCATATGGGTGAAGGATCAATGTTTCTTTTATTTTTAAACAGGGAAATCACACGTATCGCATGTAGGAAGCAAAATAACTTATTAATAATGTATCAATATACTATTTTGTTTTTCAAAACAGTAGAACAATTCTAATTGTGCAATGCACATAACAATCAGGCTACAGAATTAAATGTCTGATTATAAAGATAAGCACGCGCATCCTCTATTTCTACTTTGCCGCTTACGTCACAGATAGGAAGACGCATATACATTTTCGCAACTAAGCTTGGGATCACTTTACAAGCACATTATACGACACGTGCGTCAGCCATTGAAAATTCCACATCCTACGTTGACCCGGTGAACTCGTATCCCTTGCAAATGCATACGCACACGTATACACAGACACACACACACACACACACACATACACGCGCGTATACGCACGTGTAAGGCTGTTTTATAGAATTTATATTATCGACGCGGATTCAGAGATTATCGCCGCCTGATGGAAAGACGCGTCGCCAGCAGCACGGTTCCCACATATCTCACGTTAGACCCTTCCAAAATTCCGACGGTGTTGAAATTGCGAGGGTAAATATACAGGCGCGGCATTAATAGGCGCGGCGGTTATAAACGCGTGGTTCGAGAGGAAAAGAGGCGAGATTTCGACCTCGTCATATTTTCTCGTTCGGTGAATGCCGTCATGGCCCGCACGCGAAAATGTATCGTCTCCCTTATTTACTCTCGTTGTAGAGTAAACTGGACGGACAGTAAAATGGGGCGGTTATTTTTCGAGTGGGAGATAAAAATGACGTGGCCGGTAGCGGTGCTTTCTCTCGCGGAAACACCTTACGTCCCGGGGAACTAATGCTACTACGCGCGGTAAAAGCTTTGAGAAAATATGCCGGGGAATATCGTCGGCTTTCCCTCGGCAAGAGCGCAGCTCGTTAAGTTGATTTCTGCATCTCTCTGGAAATGAATTTCCATCGTTAAACTCGCAACGTAGTCCGCGCTTGTCTCGCGAAATCCGTCGCTCCAGTCGACGAATTTCATCCGAATCTTATTCCGTCGTCGAGCGTTCCTTTAGATTCTTGCCGTGCCTCTCACTTTCCACTCCTGGTCCCCCTCGGTTGATTCGCAAAATATATATTTTAATATAAACTCCTCTCTCTCCTCCGCGTCGCGTTTCTTTCCGCTCCCCCCCCCCTCCTATCTGACTCCATTAAATGAGGTATTGAACCGCGCTCGAAATAAATGAGCTATATTTCTCAGTGTCGCATCTTCTCCGCTTCGGTCTCCGTGTAGCTTTCTCCTTGTTCTCTTACCATCGCTCACTGCGCGTTCTACCTATTTTTCTTGTTTATGTCTAGTATTATATTATAGTAATCCTGCGCATCAAGAGAGAAATAATATTTCAAGGCGAATGTGTCTTTTCCTCTCTAAATACGACATTCGAGAGCCGTCGTGCGCATAATTATGATGCGTCATTCTCTCAGCAACAGCGAGGGAACTCCTCTTCGCGGTGTCTCGCGCGTTATTATAGACGTTCTTTTGACAAAAAAGTCATTGCACGCGGCTGTCG